GCCAGCTGTACCACAGCCTGCAGCCTGCTCTTGTCAGCAGTGACGCTGGTGCCTGGACAGCCCATGGCAAGAGCAGCAGCTCCCTCGCGTTGCCACCCGCCACTTCCCAAGTCAGCTTTCAAGGGCTGTGTAGGTGCCTCTGCTAGACAGAACCTGGGTGGCTGCCATCCCAGCTGGAAAGAGTCTAGGCCAGGCAGAATTCGGCTTCCTGGATTCCCTCAAGCAGAAGGCACGTTGGGTGGGCTGGAAGCAGGTGGACAGTGAGCTGATGGCTATGGGCACTGGAGAGACATTTCTGGGTCACGAGCATCCAAGGGTAAAATACAGATTTTTATACACTTGTGCCTGACCCCCAGCACGAGGAGTGGCTATTTCTCTGCGTTTGCAAATTCCACAACACCTAGTCTCACTTTTTAGTCAATCATTATACTCAAAAGTAAGCTAATACATGCGGAAGGAAAAAAAGCGACACTTTATACTATCAGAAAAATAAAATATACAAGGGCACTGGGTTGTTGTCCCCAGTGTTATTACATGGCTCTTGGGGACTGGGGGCCATCACAGCCACTCTCTAGACTGTGCGTTACCTGCTTCAAACAACACTCAGAGGTAGACACTATAACCATGCTCAGGGAACGAAAGCACAGTGAGCCCAAATGACCTGGCTAATAACATGAGAAAGCCAAGATGGGGCCCCAGACAGGCTGATCCGAGGTCCACGTTTATAACTTCTATAACTTACCACACGGGTTACACTACATCATAGCTCTGTGCTGTTAGGATTCAAATCTATAGCTCCATGGTTACCCCAGAGCAGAGTAAGATGTACTTCCCCAGCTCATATTCTTTTTGGCGTACTACAAAATATGATAATCCGACTTTATAGATGGAAATGACAGAGACCCACATATTTACCCACATTTCTGTATGCAAATTTACAACAATAATTTTGCATTAATGTGAGCTTTGCATTTAAAAGAGAATTTAACTTTGATGTACAACAGACAAATTACATTAAGACATTAAATCTGTAAGTCATTGTTAAGAAATAGTTCGCTTATTTTAAGAAAACTTTCCAGTCTTTGATATATGTTCTTACAAACATGAAAATAAAATTCTTTTCCTCAACTGTCCTTTTCCATTTCACACATATTGATCTTTCCATATGTTTTAAATAATCATGAAATTAATAGGAACTGTTTTTAATAAATCTAAAACATAGCTCCTTTCATGTCAAAATACTTTGGGGAAGACTGAGGTGAAAAAGCTGCTTAAACATTAGGAAAAACTAAGAACAACCAAGAATGGCTTCAGAAGAGACATGGAAAGATGAGAAAAACTCGGAAGGCTACTACTATAGGAAGGCACTGACTGACAGGTTGGGGGAGGGCATCCAAGAAGGAAGATTCTGAAGTGGGCTGAAGCCCAGACCAGAGCCCAGGTAAGACAAAACAGAAGAGAGGAACAACATCAAGGACCCTCTGACCAACACATCAGCTGTGAGACACACCCCGTGGAGCAGAGCAAGCCTGTGTGTGGATTCTAATAGTTGTCTTCTTTTTTTAAATCTGTGGCATTGAGCCAAAGTTCTCAATATTTTTTGAATCTTCATTACTAATAACGTGGGTCGTGATATTTACCGAACTCAACGGCAGAGCAGAATCAGTGGGCCAGCACCACACATGCCCCAGCCCAGAGCCTAGGCCTGAGGAACAGCGTGGAAATGAGCCCCCTCTAGTCACCCTCATCTGCCCCCCAGGCAGAGTGAGCACAGGGAGAACCCTTCACAGGCAGGCTGCGCAGTGCTACATGTCACCCCGCATTTTCTACACAATTTATAGTTATTATGAAAGTGTTTATGATCCTAATTATTTTCTAAACTAGTAACAGGATCAATTTAAAAAAATTCATTGTCAAGGAAAAAATAGAGCCATTTCAAAGCATGTTTTCAATTATACTAACAAACCACAAATCCACACTATGTATGTACTATGGGAAATGCGTGATACGGTCATTGTGTTAGTTATTAAATTATTAAGTTATTAGGGTAGCTACAACTGGTGAAAATATCCTAAAAACAGTTGTTTTGGAATGTAATACATTTTGAATTCTGACTGTTTGGTACATGTACTATTATTTTTTTAAACGAAGATGACTAATATTGGTTTACATAATGAACCTGATATAATATTAGATGAAATCATGATTTTATATTGTGTCATACAATATCAAGCAATTTGTGACACATCTATTTTACAGTCAGTTTTTTAAACTAATTACTAGCAGCACCATTATGCTTGGCAGACTTTTAACATACTAGAGCTTATTTATAATTTAATGCTTTATGAGTCACTACTGTCACAGTTTTGATACTCTAAGGTTTAGAAAGGCATTTTGTGAGAAGACCATGCCACACACAGCACAAGGTTCCAGCCCCGTGAGCACTACAGCAGTGGCAAAACACCCAGCCGAGTGCGGACAAGTGTGCCACCCAGAGGCCACCAGAGGAAAACCCACTTTGGAGTTCACGGGTACCACAAAACTGATAATATTATACGTTAAATAGCATTTGCTATTACTAGTCTTATTGAAAAGCACAGGAAATTCCTCCAGGTTCTCTCTGCATAAGTGAGTCCTCTTACTGCCAAGCTATGGAGAAGTATGGCTCTTTGACAATTCTAACATGATGCAAACAGGCCCTGAGCCTGTACCAGTCACAGGTGCACAGCTTGCCAATTAAACAATTTAACTGTACTCTCTAAAGAAAATGCCTTCTTTTCTTTCTATAATTAACATAACATGTGTTTTCAGAAGTACATATAGGTTCTGGAACAACTACCATCATCTATTTAGACATGTGGACCAAAAGTTAAACTAATTACCAGAGACATTTCTTACTTGAATGAGAAAAGTTTCTTTCATTAGCAGATCTTTTGCATAATTTTCTTCTGGCAGAGGAATAAAGTTTGTTTAGAATAATGCTGTTTGGCAGAAAGTCAGGGCTTCTAAAATATATACCAACAATTATTAAGGTTAAAGAAAACAGTCAATTCTATTAAAACATATAAAAATTCAGACTCCAATGTCCTGAACAATAGGCTTATTATAAAATAGACATTTATGATAGCCCCATTTTGTCTCAGAAGTCTGGATGTTGAGATAATTATTAGCATTGGACATCTTTTAATATTTATTTTTACAAAGAACTATAAAAGTTCACTAACTAGAAACATAACATACATTAAAATGTACAAAAATATAAGAATAAAATTTGAAAACTTCTTTTTTGCCATTGTAAAGTGTGTTTTGGAAATAATCTGTAAAATCTTTCATTTGGGGCTCCCAAATGCTAATATACATTCTTATTTCATCATGCTTTGTTGATTCATTTTTTTTCACATAAACACACCTTAAAATAAAAGTGATTCTAAACTCATACCTATTTATTATTATTTAGAAAAATCTCTCAAACAATATGAAGTGTTACTTCAAATGTTTTATTAAATAAAAAAAATTCTACACTTGCTTATTTTCAAGTAAACATTCTTCTTGCAAAATTTTAGAAGAACCTTGCTTTAAGGTAGAGCACCGTCAATTACACCTTCCTGTCTCGGTTCTTTAACTGAAGGGAACTCATTGCCTGTGGAAACTAATTTTCTTCTTTAACCTTCCATGTGCCCTGTGAAGGACACTTCCACCTGCAGTGATGACTGTGAAACATCTCAGCAGAGAGGACAAACAACTCTACCTCATATCGCTATTTATTTAGGAAGTAAGACAGACTTTGCAAGACAGATGGCTTCTTGAAGCTGCTAATATCAGAGCAAACAGGACAAAGACAACTCACTAGCACAGTGTGGTCAGTACTCAGGTAAAAACTCAAGGATTAAAGCTCAGAGAATGTATCCGAATATACTGCAAAAATCTTTCTAGAGTACCTTAGGGTTGGGAAGGGTCAAGAACATTCTGAAGCAACACAGTGAGCTGGCTGTCAGGAGAGTGACTTTGCACGGGTTCCCCAGGGGCATCAGAACTATGTGTCTGCAAAAACCTTCGAGAATAAAGTACGTAGAAGCAGGGACAGCTACTTGGCCGCTAATAAATGACTCAAGCTTATGGTAACTATTTAATTTGAGGGGTAAATACTGAGACTCCCCACACCTATAACTGGTTGAGAAGATCTAGTGATGAAATATTTTAGAAATTTTTGAATCTTTTCTATTTGTTTCCCATTTCTGAAGCTACCATCAAAGTTTTCACCATTCAAAAAATCTGTAATAGTGTAACCATTTCCTACTAATCTCCATCTCTGGGCCAAATCTCCTCTGTCCTACCTAGGACCATGTTTTCAAACCCATCTTCCAAGTGGAGCCCACACTCTTTGTGAGGTACAAATCCCTCGCATCACTTCCCTGCTTGATACTCTCATACCAAGTCAAGAGCCACGAGTCCCGGCCTGCACCCTTTCCCTTACAACTGGAGAGGTCTTGCCAAGGGAGGGGATCCAGGGGCTGGCCACCCCACACCCACTCAATCCAAAGTCTACAAGAAAGGGCTGTAGTTACTAGTTCCTTGGGCTTTTCTGTTTCAACTGAACCGAAACTTCAATTTCTTTGGGTGAAATTAAAATAACTCCTCATCAGGAAATGTCAGACTCGTAATTTATGGGTGACGTCTTTCACAAAAACATCTCAAATGCTACACCAACAGTTTCCAAGTGTCTTTAAATGACCAGTATTTGAGGATGACCACAGAGGCAGAGATTAGATCACACAGACCAAAGAATAAAATTCAACTTTAAGTGGCCACAACACAAAGCTGGCATGTGAAGAAGCAGGGATGTGAGAAAGCCTGCCTTAACAATTCTGAAAGGGTGCTAGGGTCGCTGTGCGTGTGAGTCAGAACTACTGAGAAAATCGACATTTCTGATGGATTTTCTATAAAAAGTGGCATGCAGATTCCAACTGATGGGCAATCATGACAAAGGAGCCACAGAATACCTGATCCTCGCTGGTTAATCCCAGGTGCATCACAAGGTAAAAATGCACCAGGAAATCCGAGTTTGGCAGCACGTCCTGGCGTCTGGTCATCATGGCACAGATGAGCCTGTAGGCTTGCAGTTTGCCTTCCTTATATTCATTTGGCAGCGTCGTTGCCTGCCAAGGAGATGATGTTTCCAGATTAAATCAAGTCCAGATGCGGAGCATTGCGACATTTCATTCACTGCTCGGTTTTCCAGAAGAGTTTGTTTATGGAGATGCAGAATGCAGTGGCTTTAGGAAGACCCTGCCTGTCCTCAAAACATGCCGTCTTGGGCAATTACATTTTTCAAACTCAATTTCAGAAAGGAAGAGGAAATTGCAATAAAAGAATAAACACATATCCACTTGCCTTAAATAGCCATGATGCAAACATTCTGAGTGGCGGGATCAAGACCGGAGGGGATGGAGAAGACTGGTTGTCCAGGCTTATTGCTAGGTTATCCCGAATCTGATTCACAAAGGGGAACATTGTAGGGAAAGTAAATATTTCAATATTGTCTTCCAAGGCCAAATAGCAGCTTCTAATTAAATTTCTGCAGGTTGACTGAAAATCTATAATATTCATGAGGTTTTATTGTGAGATCTATTGTCCTTTGATTTATGAGCTGGCTTACTCTATGTGGTTTTAGGTTGAAATACTAAAAATAAGAGTATTATTTTTCCTTGAATGTTAATAATGCTGAAGAGGTCCTGAATTTCAAATGATAAGGATTGATTTATTAAGTTACATTACAAAAGCATGAATCATGTTCTGAAAAAAAAATTACTAACATAGGGAAAATCTACATCAGAACCAAAATAAAAATGTATGTACTCTGGATTCTACTTTTATAAGAATGTTTATCCAAAGAAATAAGACCACATATTAACACTGGTTATTTCTGTGTGATCGTAATGTAAATTTTTTTTTGTAATTTTCCACATTTTTTCAAATTTTATACAATAAAACCAGTACCATTTTTTATAAAGAGAGCTAAAACTACTTAATATTCTATGTTTAACCTATCTTATAGTGATATTCTACTTTTGCACTAAATGGAATAAACTTTGGGTATTTATAAAATATTCAAACTACAATTATTATAATTTATTCTTCAATAATCAAATATACACTGTCTAAACACTTACTTTGTGTTCCACAATATGTTCAGCAGTTAATTGGAACACAGTTTTACATTAAATGATAAAACAACCTCCTTGTATTAGCATAAGAGGTAACACAACAGGACATACCTTTGCTAGCTTATACCAGAGTTCATAGAGATAGCCAAAAACTTTGGCATGGATTTTGGGTGACTGGATGTTATTCACATCTCCAAGGACTCCCAAGATTCTTCGCCATAACACGGCTGCAGAGTCTGGGTGCCACCCAGTGAGATTCCCTCCGGCAATTATACTACAGTCATCCGCCAGGTATTCACTGCTATCTGTGGAGAAAACACGTGAGTTAAATCAGTCGATCAGGGATAAGAGCTGGCGCAAGGGCCCTGGGACAAGAGTGTGCTAGCAAGTTCAAAGCACAAGCATTCCTTTGTAACATATATCTGATTATGAAATATGAAGTTTTGCACACCAGAACAAATGGTTAATGAAGAATTGAAAGATTTCCCTGTGTGTCTAATTTTGTAATGCGGAAGTTACAGAATTTTGTTCTGTGGACGCCTATTGCTTTAGGATGGCTAAAGGTAGGAGATGGCTTGGTTGACTATGTCTTAAGCTTCCTAAAACAATCACGCACCTTTGGCTTATTTGAGAAACCAGGAAAGCAGGCGGAAATACACAGACACAACTTATAATCTAAAATGCTTCACTATGACACAGAAAATATACTTTCTGGTGTGAATGAGGGTACTTCAGAAAGTTTGTGGGAAATCGAATGATGAGAAGGCTCATTAGGTGCAAAAACTGTGAACCCCATGGGGTTCTTTGATTATGCACACTTCCTGCAAACTTTCTGAAGTGCCTCTGTGGGTGGCATCAGTGGCAGCACACGTTTCAGGGGCACACTGGGTCTCGCCAGCCTTTGAACTTCTTCGCAGCGCTACTTCCTGTGCCCTTTTTCTCACAATTCTGTTTCTCTCTGCTTCTGCGGCCAACCGTACCCCTCTAACCTCCAGCAAACCAGGTTTTAGATCCTGCTGTCTAATCCTCAGCCTGGGGCCCCTGCACAACCCATTCTCTGTCTTCACGTGTCACAGCCCTCAGCGTCTCCTGTGCCCTGCTCTGCACTGCCCTTGTTCTCGAGAAGGCCACCAGTGACTTCCCTGGTGCTTCATGTAGGGTTCGATTTTTAGTTCTCACCAGAGTCTGACTGAAATAATCATGTCTCACCCTTGAAATGCTTCATTCATTCGTTTGACCCCCAGGTCTGACACTGACCTAGTCTTCCTCCTTTGCTAATTCTTTGTCTCACAGACCTGGAAACACTGCAGGCGCCCAGAGCTCTGAGCTTCTCTGTCTACACTCACTCCCTTCTCACTCCCACACAGACTTAACGCCACCCGGGAGCTCACGTCTCTATACATTTATGTCTGGATTCCTGTCCGCAATTCTAGCCTCATTTCTCCTATGACCTCCCCATGCTTGTTAGTCCACAGGCAGGCATGGTCTTGTGTGCATTCCGCCATGTACTTTAGAACCTTGGCTATGTATGAGGATATTTCAAAAAAATTTTCAAGGAATACACATTTGCACCAACATAATCTTATCTTTTAATTCAATTTTTTCCACTGATTTTTTGAAGTAACCTCATGAGTAATATAGGGAGTAAATGTATATATGAATAAATATAAGGAGCGTTTTCCCAAAACTCAAATGGTAGGGAAAAGCCTCTTCTAACTCTCTCCTATTCAGAAAGTTTGTAAACTCTTATTCGATTCTTTGTTTTCAAGACAGCCACCTCTGCTCAGCTGTGGTTTGGTGGCTCCAGGCAAGAAACCCCCTAAGTCACTTTCTCCATCTTCTGTGGTGAGAAGCAGCCGCCCATGGTCAATGGCGCCCTAACTAGCTTCTAACACAGATTATAAACAGTTACCTTGATTCTGGCTCCACCATTACACCCTACTACTTATTTCAAAATAATTTATTTTGGCCAGCACTGTGGTACAGTGGGTTAAGCTGCAACCTGCAGTGCTGGCATCCCATATGGGTGCTGGTTGGAGTCCCTGCTACACCACTTCTGATCCAGCTCCCTGCTATGTTCCTGGGAAAGCAGTGGAAGATGGCCCAAGTCCTTGGGCCCCTGCACCCACATGGGAGAACTGGGAGAAGATCCTGGCTCCTGGCTTTGGCCAGGCTGTTACGGCATTTGGAGAGTGAACCAGTAGATGGAAGATTTATCTCTCTCCTGACTTTCAGATAAATAAATAAATCTTTAAAAAATAATTTATTTATTTGGGAGAGAGACAGAAAAAGATACAGAGAGACAGAGATATTAATTGTATCATATGTCTTCTATATTCTTAAGATTCATTTCTGCCTAATTCATCAATTAATGACAGTCAATACTAAAACTTTGTCATATGGTTATAGTTTTATCAGTGGTTCCTTTTAATTATGTTAAATTTTATTTCATATATATAGAGGTTCTGAAATTCATACAAAATCAGAATTATCATTATCCCTAATAATGATTTCTGCTTCAAAGTTTGCGACTGTTTTATAGTTAGCTAGACTAAATCAGTGGTCTTCTCTCCTTTCTTTATATTAAAAAAATATTTATTTATTTAGAAAGTGAGAGTGAGTAAGCTACCTCCCATCTGCTGGTTCACGGCCCAAATGCTGGAGCAGAGCCAGGCTGGATCTAGGAGCTAGGAACTCAATCTGGGTCTTCTACATGGGTGGTGGGGAACCAAATATTTGAACCATTGTCTGCTGCTTCCAAGGGTGTACATTAGCAGGAAGATGGAATCAGGAACAGAGCTGGGACTTGAACCCAGGCCCTCCCGTACAGAATAAGGGCATCACAAGCAGCAACTTAATCGCTATGCCAAACATCCTCAACCCTTCTTTTCCTTAAAACTGTGGTTGTTAACTTATGATTTCATGTCTAACCTCTTAGGCTTTTTGTTTAAGCCACCATTGTTCTGCCTCTGAGTTTTTGGAGGGACTTCAATGAGTTGTGTTCCACCTCTGTCACTAACTCCCATCTCTATGGCCTCAGACCATTTGCTAGCAATATCATATTTCTGAAGTTCTATTCTCACCTCATACAAATAAACAGAGTCATTTCTAGGCAAACGTCAGTCCCCATTGAGCGCCATCTCAAGTATAGGTGTCGCTAGAGTTGTTAAGTTCCAGTCAAAGAAACTGAAGCCCAAGCTTGAGATCTAAGGAACGACAGGCGCAACAGAGAGCAAGAAGGAAGGACGCTGAAAAGGAGCAAGGACAGATCCCAGAATGGCTGCCGACGGCCGACTGCATTAGTAGTGAAGGATTCCAGGAGCCCGAAACAAAGGATTTCACAAGGATGGCACACGGTGTCATGGAGACGCCGTCCGTGGCAGTGCGGTTCCCTCTTTAGGGCCTTCCCACGGAAGTGTCATGTACTCAGTCAAGGAGACACTTCAGAACGTGCGGACATCCTCTGAGCTGGGATTCCTACACACCGTGCTTGAAAGACCAGAGATGCAAAGAGCAAAAGCCTAATTATGGGGACTTCTGGGTTCTCCAACTGACTTACAATAAAGCCTAGCAGAGAGCCTCCTCCTCCGAATGTTTAATCTGTAAAGTAAGTGAATTATCAAGCATCTGTTAGCCTGAGAAGGTATGCTGAAACTTTAACGTATGCTTATGATTCAGCGTAAGCCCTCAAGTGAACAAGCAGCATAAAATGGCATTTATTTTTCTTGGAAAGAATGCCGTGGTGTCCTTAATCCCTTGCAGGGGAACAAAGTGAAAGGATTAGACGATTTACAGCCTTGTCTCATCCTCTGTTCCCACCCCTAAAACACAACCACCCAAAACAGAGATTAGCCTCTAGCACTCTGTTCACACTGGCGTTTTGCTTGAGTGACAACCTCAACCTTCAACTTTAACCTCCTCACCTGTCCCTCTCTGAATACATTCTCAGCTAAAAATCCCAAATAGAAAAAAAAAAATGTTTCAATACTGCTTTACACTCAAAAAAATTCATGCCTCAATGATAAAATCCTAGGGTATAGCCCATCACATTATCAAAATATGCTAAGACCATTAGGAGTTTTTAAAATGACTATATTAGAGTTTGTTTCCTCCCAATCATTACGGAAAAAAAATTCCAATTAGTTGAAACATTGTTGTCCAAAATGACTCTGCTGGTGGCGTAAGTAACAGAACAGATGCTGACATTTCACATGGAGATGGTTTCTCGTGGAGGAGCTCTTAATTAAAAATGGGGATTTGAGAGATTTCAGAAAATTTCATGTCCACTCTAAAAAAATCAAACATTTAGTTTATTTCCTTCTTCTGTTAGTAAACTGGTATGCTAGCCTAGTATATTTTTGTTTCATTATTACTAAATGCTAAACATCATGGGCATTTAAGCTTATTTAAGAGAGACAAATAATATTATACCATCTTTCTCTAAATAGTTGATTTTAAAAGAGAAATCTACAGTTTAGGACTCTGCAAATACGAAAAGATTTTAGCCAAGAAATCAGTTTTGGAAATTGTCAAAACAGGCACTTAAGACCAAAGGACAATTTCATTTGGCCTCAAATTTCCATAGGTTTGCTAAGAGTGTTGCAGAAATATAGCCTGGGTCTATGAAAATATATTTCTCTTTTGATGTGAGAACTAAAAGCAAAAGACACAAACCCAAAGGCTCTAGTAGAAGCATGTGTCTCTAGGGCCCGAAAATCAGCCCTGGACTTCTCGATCAAAGTGAAGCAGCAGTGGCCAGTATTCTGCTGCCCACCATGCCGGTCCTATCTCCTCTCCTTCCTCATCTGCTTTCCAAGGACGTCTGCTGCTCGCTTGACGGCCTTTGGAAGGTGAGCTGCCAGGGCCCTGCTGGTCATCACTGTTATTTTTCTCTGTAACAGTTCAGAGCAACCCAGTGAAAATGCCAAAACTACGTGCAGGAAAGACTGGGGATGCTGGCAAACTGTCGCTGCATCACAGCTCAGTGGCAGACAACAGGGATGTACTTCACGGGTACAGCTACAGTTAAAGCCGACATGCTGACAGGAATTCTGTAACATTTGCATGTGCAGCAGTGAAAGTACATCGTGTGAGATTCTGAAACTGTCTTACATACGAGGGCACTTCAAAGACTTAATTGAAAATACATATTTTATATATATAATATATATAATACATATTATATATAAATAAATACACATATAAATATGTATTTTCAATTAAGTTATATATACATATATATGTATTATATATTATATATGTGTATATATACATATTATATATAATATATATATTATATGTGTGTGTGTGTGTATATATATAGGCTACTCGTTTAAAAAAGCCTTCCCAAGTTCTTAAAATTTCTTTTTTACATTTAAATATTTTATCCCTCTAGAACTGACTTGTGGGCATGGTGTGAGGTAGGGACTCTATTTCATCTTCTTCCACATGGCTCAATCCTTGTCCCTCAGGGATTTGTTGAAAAGCACATTCTTCCCATGCCAGACTGAAAAACCACCTCTACAATATACCATGACCTCATGCCTGCATGGATTTGCATTCCATTCTATTAGTCTATTTGTCTATCCCTGTGATTTTAACCTTAAACTTCAAAAAATTTAAGTAAATTTCATCACATTATTTGTTGACTACTAGGATAAAAATCTTGTATTCTGTCCTCTTTATAAGCTCTTAAGACAACAGTAGCTACTACTTATTCATCCTTTCATTTCTCATAGCATCAAACATGGCATTTCTCAATCATAAGATTATTTGAGGCTGGCACCGCAGCTCACTAGGCTAATCCTCTGCCTGTGGCACCAGCACACTGGGTTCTAGTCCCGGTCGGGGCGCCGGATTCTGTCCTGGTTGCTCCTCTTCCCGTTCAGCTCTCTGCTGTGGCCCGGGAAGGCAGTGGAGGATGGCCCAAGTGCTTGGGCCCTGCACCCGCATGGGAGACCAGGAGAAACACCTGGCTCCTGGCTTCGGATCAGCGTGGTGCCATTGAGGGGTGAACCAACGGAAAAGGAAGACCTTTCTCTCTGTCTCTCTCTCTCTCTCACTGTCCACTCCACTCTGCCTGTAAAAAAAAAAAAAAAAAAAGATTATTTGAGAAATACAGGATCCTTAGCTATAGAGTCATAATTATCCCTCTCCTCCCAATCAGTGCCTCAACAGGACTAACTTTATGCATGGATGAACTAATTTCCTTATTTTCTGTAATATTAATGCTTTGGCATCTGTGCCCTCACTGATTATAAATCACAGAAGGGTTCCAGGGTTAGTTAATTCCTAGAGGTAGTTAACAACTCACTAGGGAGCACACCTTGCAGATGCAAACGAACCAATAAAAAGCACATACCTTCCAGCTACCTCCAGTATCTGGCTGCAACATCAAGTCACTGTGCCCCAGCCCTACTCCCCAGGCACAGGCGCCAGGCAGCGAGGGCCAGCCCCCAGGCCCGTGAGCCCAGGGAGGCCATCCACGCTGCTGACCTCTTCGTGTCTTGCTCTTTACCGCGGGACAGACAGTGAATGCTGCTGGCCATGTGTGCTCCCTCTGCCTCCTAACCAGCTCTGGGGCTTCCTCATGCGCCCTGTTTCCAGGCACTGAGGAATATAAACTTCCTCCTTCATCACTGCCATTTCTGTGTCTGCACGTCTTAACCTACCTGCGTAAAACAAACCCCTTATACATTCTGAAACAACACACAAAACATCTGGCTGTTCTTATAAGGGAAACACGGAATTATTTATTAAGCAAGAAATAAAATGTAAAATCAAACTGTTAGCGTACCAGTGATGGAGGAATTTAAGATTTAGAACAAGTTTATTAGTCTAAGCATTTGATAATTGAGATTATTCAATGAGAAAGATATATTCAGTTGTTTGGTCGGTCTCTTTGCATGGCCTGAAGATCAGGCAAACACGAGTTTTATTTGCTCATTTATGAAGAAATTGTTCTCTTAAGAACAGAAAGTTATGTTCAGAGCTGTGATAATCCTTAAACCTTATCATATTACAGTTTGTCCTTTTCACAAATGACAAGATGAACTATTGAACCGAGTGTACTGATTCTCTGTATTAGTATTTCAAAGAAGAGCTAAGTATTTGGAGGAGTTAATCACAACACAGAATGCATTACATAAAACTACCTCACACAAGCTTGTTAAATTAAAATGATGTATACTCTGAAATGGGATCAAAACTAATCTTTGCAAAGGACAAACAAAACAAGTAATTACCCACTTTTCTTTCTTTTCATTAAAAATAATTAAAACTATTTTTTATTTAAGTAAATTCAATTTCATTCAAGACTCAGTGCTGCCATTTATAGTATCACAATGATGATTTTTTGGGGAATATTTATATATTGGACCCAAAGAAGCTGTTTATTCCATAAATGTATTATTAATAATTATCAAGTAGCTCAAATGGCTTTAGCAATGTAATTTTAACAACAACACCGTGCAGAAGAGTAGACACTGCACTGAATATGGAGTCAAAGTGCCTTGAAAGCTGGTTCCAGCTCTGGTGGTCATCTTCCAGCTCGGCAACGCGATTCCTTGAGGTTTCAGCTTCCCCATCTCTATATCAGAAATGTAAGACTTAGCCTGCTTCTTGTACCTCATCAAAGAAGATGGCTCAAAGCTCTTTGCAAATTGTTCATTCCCATATAAATTTATAATAATATTAGGCAAAGTCATTGTCTATTCTAGGAAGAATTTTAGCCAATATCATTTTTTTATTATTATGAAGCTTCAACTTTAATAAGAACAGCCAAACTTACATAGACTTTGATTAAATTTTATAACATAATAAGAACTAAAGTCTGTTTGATAAGAAAAAAAAATTAATCCAAGGTAAAATTTTGGCCTTCTTTATAATTTAAAAATTATATTTAGTATTTTAATAATCCCTTGACTTCACATGTGTTTTTTAGTTTTCTGCGGTTGTTTTGGTACACGGCATCTGTTTTGCAGCAAGCAGGCTGCAGACTGATAAGGTCTGCATTCTGGTCAGCATGCCGACACTGAGCTCCTCAGGGCTCCTGACACTCACTCCTCCTTGGGGTGCCCATGCCTGTCCATCACGGCACAGAACTGCACAGTGCCTCCACACGCACTCACTCATTCGTTCCTCCAACACCTACATCTTTAGGATGGGAATTACTACTGCTGTCTTCACATTACAGATAAAGCAATCGGAGAACAGAGATGGAGTAACTAGCTCAAGACCCTCCAGTAACTCTGTGGCACAGACCGGATGCAGAACCAGAAAACCTGGCAGCAGAGTTCATGTATGAATCTTAGAAACAAAATACTGACAGGAAAAATTACACCAAATACAGACAAGGACATTTTTTTTAAGTTTAGAAGCAAAACTAGATGATATATTAGTTGAAGAGACAAAGAAGTGGGATAAAACTATTAAGGAAATAAAAAACTAAGGAAGTATGAAGGTACCAGGATGTAGGGGATGGGCAGGGACTGAAAAGGGCCTCTGCGAACCACCTCACTGGCTCAGGTGCTCTCCTCACTGGGTAGAGGCTCACTGGTGTTTATTTTATTGCTGTGGGCTACAACTTACATATATGTCACAACTTATGTTGTATGTATCAAACACTTCATTTTCATAATAAGGTCTCATAATAAGGTTTCATAATAGAAAATTTTAAAAATAGTAATCAATAAGCTATCCAAACTTCTTGACTTACTCTCTGTTTATGACAAATGCAAGTTTTCAGAGTAAAGCAAATCCAATTGGGTGTGGCAGAAGCTTGTCATGAGTACCAGCACTTCCTCCCGTGGTGGACAGTGGTCATCAAAGTGGCATCTTCCTCTGATGCCTGACCACAGTTTTAGAACCCTCTCCGTATAGAACCTCCAAGAATTTATGACCGATCAGAAGCAGGTGGCTGGGGCTGCTACATCAGTTTGGCTGAAGGTAGCACTCCCCAACAACTTGCTAAGGGAGCCCTAGATTTCTTGCAACAAGACAACTCAAGATCATCCAGCTGTTGGTTGTGGTGCCTCTTTTTCAAACATGCAGCTACCTGTTAAGTTTGAAGCATCGGTGGGACTCAGCTGTAACCAATGGCGGGCGTCAGAGTCAGCCACATCTGTGGGAGTGTTCAGTTCTGGGTCTTCCTCACAGGGCTGCCACAGGCTCCCAGAAGGTTCTCCCTCATTGTGATAGCCCAGAGCTATATCACTGCTGGTACTTTCACCTGCCACAACAGAAGAGCCAAGGTTGGAGAAAACAAATTAACTGAAAATCAGGATGTTCGTGATTACTGAGACACAAGCAACTAAATAGTTCAACAAGTGGCAAAGCCCGTGTGGGGCTCTTGGTCAACAAAATAAATCTTCCAAGCACAAGGCATTGCTTGTCATCACCGGCTCCACTCCACATACATCTCACTCAAGTGGCATTCTTTCTGAGGTGCCTCTGCTCAGTTATCCCAGACTCTTAAAAGATCACACTAAACACCAAAGTTTTCTCTTGGGATTTATTCACCTACAAATTAGGGAGAGTGGAGGAAAATGGTAGTAACTTATTCTATCACAAATAGAAGTTTATTCTACTAGTGAGAAGAGCCTAAAGATGCTGTCTACCTTGGCCTAATGTGTAGACTGAAACCCAAGGCCTATCTTCCAAGGTCACTTGGGGATGAGGTGCCCCACTACAATAGATTTTCTACAGAGGAAATTCTCTTTTAAACACTGCAAAATTCCAATCTGTCATAATACAATTATGGTGTGTCATTTTTTTTAAATTTAAATTTATCTTTATTTTTTAAGCAATACAGATTTCATAACTAACTATAGGAATATAGTTATTCTTCCCACCATACCCGCCCTCCCACCCACACTCCCACCCCTCCAGCTCCTCCCTCTCCTCTTCCCAGTAAATTCTCCAATAAGATTCATTTTCAATTAACTCTGTACACAGAAGACCGACTCTATACAAAGTAAAGATTTCAACAATTTGCACACACACTCACGCACATACACACACACAAAAACCTGTTTGAGAACTAGTTTTACAGTTAACTGTCATAATACAACTCATTGAGAACAGAGGTAGTGCACAGTGACTCCTGTTGTTAATTTAACAATTAACACTTATATATAATGATGTCAGTGACCACCTGAGGCTCTTGACATGAGCTGCCTGGGCTATGGACGCCTTTTGAATCCACAATCTCCATCGGTATTTGGAAAGGCCATAAGCAAAGTGTAAGTTCTCTCCTCCCTTTGGAGAAAAGTATATCCTTCTTTGATGGCCACTTTTTTCCCCTGGGGTCTCACTCACAGAGATCATTCATGTAGAATTATTATTATTATTATTTATTTATTTATTTTTGCCACAGTGTTTTGGCTTTCCGTGCTTGAAATGCTCTCACAGGCTTTTCAGCCAGACCAAGAAGCCTTAAGGGCTAATTCTGAGGTCAGAGCGTTACTTAAAGCAACTGTCATTCTATGAGTCTGCTGTGTGGACTGCTTCCCATGTTGGAACATTCATTCCTTTTTAATTCTATCTATTGTTATTACCAGACACTTGATCCTATTTATATGATCAGTTTAACACTTAATATAATCACTTTGACACTTAAAATGACATTTTTACCACCCAGCTTAATAGGATTTGGGGCCCCATGGCAGGGTTTTAACTGAACCCTTAGAAGTAAGTTTGTAAGAATATATCCAGAACTATACAGCTTTGCAGTTACAAACTTCCTTCTCTCTCTCTTATTCCCACTCTTATTTTTTATTGAGATCTATTTTCAATTGACTTTATACACATAGGATTAACTCTGTTAAGTGAAGAGTTCAACAAATAGCATGAAGAGGAAAAACCAAAAAACTGTTCCTCAACAGTCAAGACAAGGGTTGTTCAAGTCATTGCTTCTCAAAGTGTCGATTTCACTTCTACAGCTTTTGTTTTAGGTGCTCTATTAGTTCTTACATATCAGGGGATTATTTCACTATGTATGATATTTTCCAAATTCATCCATTTTGTTGCAAATGATTGGATTTCATTTTTTTTACCGCTGTGTAGTATTCCTTAGTGTACATATCCCATAGTTTCTTTACCCAGTCTTCTGTTGATGGGCATTTAGGTTGATTCCATGTCTTAGCTATTGTGAATTGAGCTGCAATAAACATGGAGGTGCAGACAGCTCTTTTGTTTACTGATTTCATTTCCCTTGGGTAAATTCCCAGGAGTGGGAACGCTGGGTCATGTGATAATTCTACATTCAGATTTTTGAGGTTATCGCTATACTGTCTCCTATAGTGGCTTGACCAATTTACATTCCCACCAACAAAGAATTAGAGTACCTTTTCCCCCACATCCTCTCCAGTATTAGTTGTTTTTTTGATTTCTGTATGAAAGCCATTCTAACCAGGGTGAGGTGAAACCTAATTATGGTTTTGATTTCCATTTCTCTGATGGCTAGTGATTCTGAACATTTTTTCATGTGTCTGTTGGCCATTTAGATTTCCTCTTTTGAAAAATGTCTTTGGCCCATCTCTTAACTGGGCTGTTTGTTTTGCTGTTGTAGAGTTTCTTGATTTTTTTTTGTATATTCTGGTTATTAATCCCTTATCAGCTGCATAGTTTGCAAATAATTTCTACCATTCTATCGGTAGCCTGTTCACTTTCCTGAGTATTTCTTTTGCAGTACAGAAACTTCTAGATTTGATGTAATCCCATTTGTTAATTATGGCTTTGACTACCGGTGCCTCTGGGGTCTTTTCCAAGAACTCTTTGCCTATGCCAATGTCTTGCATGGTTTCTCAATGTTCTCTAATAATTTGATGATATCAGGTCATACATTTAGATCTTTAATCCACGTTGAGTGGATTTTTGTGTAAGGTGTAAGATAGGGGTCTTGCTTCATACTTCTGCACATGAAAATCCAGTTTTCTAAGCACCATTTATTGAAAAGACTGTCCTTGTTCCAGGGATTGGTTTTAGCTCCTTGGTCAAATAGAAGTTGGTTGTAGATGTTTGGATTAATTTCTGGTGTTTCTATTCTGTTCCATTGGTCTATCTATCTGTTTTTGTACCAGTACCAGGCTGTTTTGATTATAACTGCCTTGTGGTATGTCTTGAAATCTGGTATTGTGATACCTCCAGCTTTGTTTTTGTTGTATAAGACTGCTTTAGGTATTCAAGGTCTCCTATATTTCCATATGAATTTCAGCATCATTTTTTCTAGATCTGAGAAGAATGTCTTTGGTATTTTGATTGGTATCACACTGAATCTATAAAATTGCTTTTGAGAGAATAGACATTTTGATGAGACTAATCCTTCCAATCCATGAACATGGAAGATTTTCTCCATTTTTTTTAAAGATTTATTTTATTTATTTGAAAGGCACAGTTAGAGAGAGAGAGAGGTCTTCTATCCACTGGTTCACTCCCTAGATGGCCACACAGCCGGAGCTGCGCCGATCCAAAGCCCAGAGCCAAGAGATTCCTCCGGGTCTCCCACACGGGTGCATGGTCCCAAGGACTTGGGCCATCTTCTACTGCTTTCTAGGCCATAGCAGAGAGCTGGATCAGAAGTGGAGCAGCCGGGACTAGAACCGGCGCCCATATGGGATGCTGACACTTTAGGCCAGGGCTTTAACCTGCTGTGCCACAGTGCCAGCCCCGATTTTTCCATTTTTATGAATCTTCTTCTATTTCTTTCTTTCATGTTTTGTAATTCTCAACATAGAGATCTTTGACATCTTTGACTAAATTTATTCCAAGGTATTTATTTTTTGTAGCTATTGTGAATGGGATTGATTTCAGAAGTTCTTTCTAAGCTGTGGTATTGTCTGTGTATACAAAGGCTGTTGATTTTTGTGTATTGATTTTATATCCTGCTACTTTACCAAACTCTTCTATGAGTTCCAGTAGTCTCTTCGTGGAGTCTTTTGGATCCCCTATATATAGAATCATATCATCTGCAAAGAGGGATAGTTTGACTTCATCCTTCCCAATTTGTACCCCTTTGATTTCTTTTTCTTGCCTAATGGCTTTGGCTAAAACTTCAAGGACTATATTGAATATCAATGATGAGAGAGGGCATCCTTGTCTGGTACCAGATCTCAGTGAGAACGCTTCTACCTTTTCCCCATTCAATAGAACACTGGCCTTTAGTTGTTATAAATTGCCTTGATTGTGTTGAGGAATGTTCCTTCTATACCCAATTTGCTTAGTTTTCATCATGAAAGGGTGTTGTATTTTATCAAGTGATTTCTCTGCATCTATTGAGATAATCATACAGTTTTTGTTCTTAGGTTTATTAATGTGATGTATCACATTAATTGATTTGCGAATACTGAACCACCTCTGAAAACCAGGGATAATCCCACTTGGCTAGATTTTTTTTTTTTTTTGACAGGCAGAGTGGACAGTGAGAGAGAGAGAGAAAGGTCTTCCTTTTCCATTGGTTCACCCTCCAGTGGCCACCATGGCCGGTGCGCTGCGGCCGGTGCACCGCGCTGATCCAAAGGCAGGAGCCAGGTGCTTCTCCTGGTCTCCCATGGGGTGCAGGGCCCAAGCACTTGGGCCATCCTCCACTGCCTTCCCAGGCCACAGCAGAGAGCCAGCCTGGAAGAGGGGCAACCAGGACAGAATCTGGCGCCCCGACTGGGACTAGAACCCAGTGTGCCGGCACCGCAGGTGGAAGATTAGCCTATTGAGCCGTGGCGCCAGCCCGACTGGCTAGAATTTTTTGAGGATTTTTGTGTCTATGATCTTCAGGAAAATTGGTCTGTAGTTCTCTTTCTCTGCTACATCTTTTTCAGGTTTAGGAATTAAGGTGATGCTGGCTTCATATAAAGAATTTGGGAGGATTCCCTCCCTTTCAATTGTTTTGAATAACTTGAGGAAAATTGGAGTTAGTTCTTCTTTAAATGTCTGGTAAAATTCAGCAGTGAACCCATCCAGTCCTGGGATTTTTTTTTTATTTGTAGGGAGGGTTTTTATTATTGATTCAACTTGCATCTTGGTTATGGGTCCATTTAGGTTTTCTATGACTTCATGGCTCAATTTAGATAGGTTGTACATATCCAAGAATCTGTCTATTCTAGGTTTCCTAGCTTGTTGACATACAGCTCTTTGTAGTAATTTCTGATGATTCTTTTTATTTCTGTGGTGTACATTTCCTTTTTCATCTCTAATTTTATTGATTTGGGTCTTCTCTCTCCTTTTTTTGGTTAGTTGGGCCAGTGGTGCAACAATTCTGTTTATTCTTTCCTGAAACCAGCTCTTCATTTTGCTGATCTTCTGTATTTTTTGATTCAATTTTATTTCTTCTCTAATTTTAATTATTTCTTTTCTCCTACTCATTTTGGGTTTGGTTTGCTATTGTTTTTCTAGATCCTTGAGATGCATTGATAGCTCACTTATTTGGTGCCTTTCCATTTTCTTCACATAGGCACCAATTGCTATAAACTTTCCTATTAACACTGCTTTTGCTGTATCCCTTAAGTTTTGATACTTGTATTGTCATCTTCATTTGCTTCCAGAAAGTTTTTGATTTCTTCTACAACCCACTGTTCATTCAGGAGCATGTTGTTCAGTCTCCATGTGCCTGCACATGTTCTAGAGATTCCTGAGTTGCTGATTTCCACCCTCACTCCATTGTGGTCCAAGAAGATGCATGGTATGATCCTGATTTTTTGAGTTTGCTGAAACTTGCTTTATGATCTAGTATGTGGTCAATCCTAGAGAAAGTTCTATGTACTGCTGAGAAGAATGTGTATTCTGTAACTGCAGGATAAAAAGTTCCGTAGATATCTGTTTGGTCTATTTAGTCTATAGTGTCAATTAAATCTGCTGTTTCCTAGCTGATTTTCTGTCTGGTTGATCTGTCCATTGCTGAAAGAGGAGTACTTAAGTCCCTCATTACTATTGTACTGGAGTCTATGTCTCCCTTTAGATCTCAATATTTCTTTTAAACATCAGGTGCCCTGAAATTAGGTGCATATAATGTTTATAATAGTTACATCTTCCTGTTGAGTTAATCCCTTAATCATTACATAGTGCCCTTCTTTGTCTCTTTTAATAGTTTTTGTGTTAAAGTCTATTTTGTCTGATACTAGAATGGCTACACCAGCTCTTTCTTGGTTTCTGTTGACATGGAATATCTTTTTCCAACCTTTCACTTTCAGTCAGTGTACACCTTTGTTGGTGAGATGTGCTTCTTGTAGGCAGTAAATAGATGGGTTTTGTTTTTTAATCCATTCAGCCAGTCTGTGTCTTTTTACTAGAGAGTTGAGGCCATTTACATTCAAGGTGACTATTGATAAGTAATGACTTTGCCCAGACATTTTTCCAAAAATATTCCAATTTTTTTTCTTTGAATTTCCTTTGAACTTTTACTGGGAGATTTCCTTCCGTTATCTTCTTTTGTAGTGATACCCATGTTTCTGTGTTTCTGTATGCAGCACATCCTAAGCATCTTTTGTAGGGCTGGCCGGGTGGTGACAAATTCTTTCAATTTCTGTTTGTTATAGAAGGTCTTTATTCACCTTCATTCATGAATTAGAGTTTTACAGGATATAGTATTCTGGGTTGACAGGTTTTTTCTCTTAAGACTTGGAATATACCTTGCCATTCTCTCCTAGCCTGTACAGATTCTGATGGGAAGTCCACTGTGAGTCTAATTGGAGACTCTCTGAAAGTAATCTAGTGTTTCTCTCAAGCACATTTTAGAATCTTTTCTTTATGTTTTACCGTGGTGATTTTGATTACAATGTGTCATATAGTGAAGATCTTTTCTGGTCATGTCTATTAGGAGTTCTATGTGCTTCCTGAACTTGGATGTCCCTTTCTTTCTTCAAATTAGGGAAGTTTTCTATTATTATTCCACTAAAATGGACTTCTAATCCATTCTTCCTTTCCACATCTTCAGGAACTCTTAGAACACGTATTTTGGGTCATTTGATAGTATCCTGTAGATTCCCAACAGTGTTTTTAGTTTTCTAATTTCCTCTTCTTGTTATTGGTTTGACTATATAATTTCTTGTGCTTTGTCTTCTAAGTCTTCTTTCTTCTGTTTCACCAATTCTGTTGTTAAGGCTTTCCATTACATTTTTTGTTTTGTTCTATTGAATTCTTCATTTCATTTTGATTTCTCTTTAGGATCTCAGTTTCGTGGGAGAAGTTTTCTTTCATGTCTTATATGGATTTCAGTAGTTCGGGCATATGCTTCTGATTACTTCTACGTAATCTAATGATCAATTTTTTGAATTCCATTTCTTGCATTTCTTCGATCTTATCATCTTCACAAACTAGTGTTGAAGTGTTGTGTTCTTTTGGAGGCATTATGTTGTCTCCCTTATTCTTGTTTCTTGAATTGGTGTGTTTGCTATTTGGCATTTGTGGGGATACTCATTGGTTTCTTCTTTGTTTTTTTCCACTGTGGCAGCTTTTATCTTTGTACTATGCCTCTGTAGATAAGTGGAGTGTCTATTTTCAGTGATTACCTAGAGGTCTGTGGTGGGTGTGGCCAGGGAGCTCTATTCAGTTCTCCAGGGTGAAAGGCATGTCTAAGGTGACACAGCCAGTTTTCTCACGATAAATTCCCCCCGCCCCTCTTTTTTTAATCAGAAGGGAGGTTTGTTCTGTTCAGCTGATTTCCTCTGCTCAAAGGAGACCAGTACCTGACTCCTAGCCCCAGTGGCTATAATATGCATCCATTATGCCACAACACTATGCCACAAGGATCACACAAAGGATCTGTGCAGTCCCAGTGTAAGTTCAGATTCCCCAGCAATGTCCCTCACCAGGTAACCAGGAAGCCCCGAGCATGTGGAGTCTCCCACAGGGACTGCCCAATGTCCCAGTCATACCATGAGCCCTCCCACACAGCCTCAGTTTTTTTCACAGTTCCAACACACAAGCCTCCCACAGTCATGAGTACCCAGCTCCCGGTTAGTTTTCTTCACCAGAGTCAGGAATCTCCATTTGGCTGGTTGCTGGGTGCAGATATGAGCTGGCACAGCTGTTATGTATGTCCAAAATGGCACCCGCTCTATTGGCTTATTATAAGACGCCATTGTAAGGTGATCAAGAAGAAAGAAATGTATCCCTCCTTTGTTTTTTCCTCCTCTAGCTTGGCAGGTACACTATCCTCCAAGGGAACCTCCAAGCCAGGTTCCCTCTAGGGTCTTCCTGCAGCTTTATCCCCAGTGCCTGTGGTTGTTACAGTGTGGTCTCACCTCACTCTCCAATGCTGGTGCATAGGTTCTCTGTTGCTGTGGTCCTGAATTGTGGGTGTCCACACCCTCCAAGTAGGTCCATTCTGTCCCTCTAATTTGCATAGAGTTTCCTCTGAAGTTTTCTCCCTAACTCTTCCCTGAGACTGCACTCTCTCCACTTGTTTTAAAACTATCTTCTCCTAGACCAGAGCAGTAAGTTCCCTCCCTACTCTGCCATTTTGGAAGCTCTCAGGTGTCTCATTAAGACTTAAAGGGCTATGGCCGGTGCCGTGGCTCAATTGGCTAACCCTGGCACCTGGCTTCGGATTGGCACAGCGTACTGGCTGCAGCGTGCCGCCTGTAGCAGCCATATAGGGGGTGAACCAACAGAAGGAAGACCTTTCTCTCTGTCTCTCTCACTGTCTAAATCCACCTGTAAAAAAAAAAAAAAAAGAAAGAAAAGAAAAAAAAGAAGACTTAAAGGGCTACTTATTTCATCTAACACAAAAGAAACCTAGACAGTTTGCTCCCCAAAGTTGCCTGCCTCTTCCATAACCATTGTATTGTTTACCCTTATGGTCTGTGCACCATCCGGCTCCACTTTGTGTCTGCTACAGTCTCCCAGCCTCATTGCTTTTTTTATTCTCTTCTTTATTTTTTTCTTTTCTTTTTTTTCTTTTTTTCTTTTTTTTTTTTTTTGACAGGCAGAGTTAGACAGTGAGAGACAAACAGAGAGAAAGGTCTTCCTTCCGATGGTTCACCCCCACAAATGGCCGCTACGGCCGGTGCTACGCCGATCCAAAGCCAGGAGCCAGGTGCTTCCTCCTGGTCTCCCATGCGGGTGCAGGGCCCAAGCACTTGGGCCATCCTCCACTGCCTTCCCAGGCCACAGCAGAGAGCTGGACTGGAAGAGGAGCAACCAGGACAGAACCGGTGCCCCAACCGGGACAAGAACCCAGAGTACCGGCGCCACAGGTGGAAGATTAGCCTAATGAGCCACGGTGCTGGCGCCTCACTGCTTCTAATCTGCCACAACTGAAAGTTGTTACAGTGACAACATGACCAATCTGTTGTGACCCAAACTTCATCTCCCAGAGGCCTCTAAGCCAACAGAGTGAAAATGGAGCATGAAAAGAAGATTTACGTTCTTGACTGTGCTGCTCTGAGGAGGAAGTAGCCTGGCACCTGCCTTCTGGAAGACTGAGTGTGAGGGGCCATATTTTGCAAGTCTCAGGATTCCAGCACCTTATTTAAGAACACTTATCTCACTGACTTCAATGTACTTCTGATCTCTGTCCTCGCCTGTGGAGACTTTCAGGAGAAGATCATTTTTCCTACTGGGTTTGTCTGTTAATCACAGCCATCATTCCCTACTGGGCTTCTCACTTGGAGAATGGACCAACAATAAGAAAGGTCTCTCTGATAAAAGAAACTAATTGTAACTATTTCCCTGCTTGTGTGGATTAAGCTTTTCTCAATGCTGGCATTGCAGGAATAAAAATGTTCAATTTCAAACCATGTCTCCTCAGTTTTAAGACACCACTCCAGTTAGAAGAAGAAGAAAACAAAGTATATCACTCTGAAGTTGGATGAACACAGGCACATTTTCCAGAACTTACTTTTCTGTCTTTCTTTACATTTTCCTTGAGTTTGCTGCAAATCATCTTTCAAATCTAATTCAGCAGGGCTGCTGCTTCTTCGAACCAAGATCTTCAGGCAAAAAGAAATATTGTATTTATTACAGGAAAGTTATAATTTTATAAGACTGTTAAGTTCCTAGTCTACATTTCAAAAGAAAAGGAAACCAACAATAATAATAGCAACAAAAATTGAGAGCTGTTTTTCCATGTGAAGGATATGTGTTCACAAATTACTGTAATTGAATCACATATTATGCAAGACCTGAAATTGTAGTTTATATTCTCTACTTCGTCAACTGACATCCAATTAAATTGATTTAGTAAAAAGAGATGTTAAATTATACGGAAGTTATTTATTTTAAAACTTTACTCATTTCTTTGATCAAGCACACATATACAAGTGGTCTTCAAAAGGTTTATGGAAAATGTGCACTATGAAAAAACTAGGCATAGTTTTCAAAACACTTTGTAATAAAATAAATTTATCATTTAATTCCATTTTCTCTGAACTGTTTTAATCCCTTCCTACAGTGAGTGGGTGTACTTCATATAGTAAGCAGGTGAATTTCACATAGTGAGTAGGGGAACTTCTCCAGGTTTTAGTTACCCATGGACAGAGAGTGTCCTACAGGGAAGACACACACCTCATCCAGACTTCTACAGGTCCACTCAGTACCTTCCTAGTTAACTGTGCTGCTATAGACTTTCCCAAGTACTGCTTAACACTGGACTTTCTATTAAATACAAAGGATTAAAAAATCAGGAGGCAATCTGCATTCTCTAGAAATCTGTAATTTTCTTGGAGACACAAAACACACACGAATTACATAAAATAATTACAATGCACATAAGCAAAATATGCAAACAAACTCTCTCTGAAAGACATGCAAAATAAAGTGTTACCTTCAGTGGCTGATAGTTACAGGAGAGCTGCTCAAGAAGGCAATAGACAGGAAGTGGTAGAGGGAAGGCAGGAGGGGACTCAAGGCTGGAAGCACGGAGTGGAAATCAGCAAGTTCTATGTGCAGGAAAAGAGGCTGATGAAAGCAGGCCATGCAGGGCAGCCAGGCGAAGAAGGAGAAAGACAGGAAGAAACACAGACATTGTCAGAGAGGCAGCTGCCAGTGGGACTTCAACATTAGGGTTGGGACCTTCGATCCAACAGTGAGAAAATGAGCAGCTACCTGTTCCAGACAATAGCTCACCATCATTAAAAATATAATCAGAAAGATAAGTCTAGCAGTTATCTATCGATAGATTAGAGTAAAAAAGAAAATTACTATGGAACTGTTACAGCAATTCAGGAAATGAGGAGATGAGGCTTTTGATGGTGGAAAAGGAGAAGAAAATATAAATAAGACAAATATTGAGGAATGACAAGCTAGAGTTTATAATTAGCTCTAAACTTGAGTAGAAGAAAATAAAACCATAAATGGGTATAAATCTAGGGGACACAGAGTGATGGTGATGAAGGGAAGAAGAACGGCGGAGAAGGAAAAACAAACTCAAGAAAGGTTCTGATGTTTTGATTTTATCTTTGGGTTGAATATCCAAAAACAATGTCCTAAAGTGGGCAACAAAAATCCAAGAGCGATGAGACAGAGAATAATTCCAGGAATGAAGATGCAAATGTAACATTCTCCACTGCAGAGTACATGAAGAACTCTTTAAAATTTAATGAGCCAACTCCAGGTGTGAATATCAAATAAGGAAACAATGCAAAGGGGAACCAAGATGTACACAGAGTCTTCATAAAGTTGATGGAAAACGTAGAATATGAAAAATGGATTTCAAAAATTTTTGCACCAGAATAAACATCTTTTAACTCAATTTTTTGATGAACTTTATATAATTAAAAGACAGAATTATTGGGGCCAGCATTGTGGTGTACACTGGCATGTCATATTGGTGCTGGTTTAATTCTCAGCTGTTCTGCTTCCAATCCAGCTTCCTGCTAATGTACCTGGGAAAGCAGCAGAAGATGATCCAAGTGCCTGGGCTCCTGCCATACATGTGGGAGACTCAAAGGGGATACCTGGTTCCTGGCTTTGGCCTGGCCCAGCCCTGGCTGCTGTGGCCATTTGGGGAGTAAACCAGAGGATGAAAGATCTCTCTCTCTCTCCCTCTCTTGCTCTGTAACTCTGGCTTTCAAATAAATAAATAAATCTTAAATAAAAAAAAAAAAGGACTAGACCCACAAACCAAAAGTAGGATAGTGGCAAGGTGGGGGAAAAAAAAAAAAGAAAAAGAAAAGACAGAATGATTGTTATGTTAAAAAAAAATAAAGTAGGCCACAAATAAAGTAAGTAGGCTACAGATGTAGACATTTAGATTTTTAGCACATTAAGATTAGCCAGACAGGAACTAAAATCGAAGACTACTAAAGACCAAAGGAAATAAAACAATTGCATAAGAATCACAGAACCAACAAAGATATTTATACCCCTCAAGGATTTTAGATAATCATATGAGGAATTCAGAATTGCAATTTGTCAACATTGTAAAGGAGTAAAATTGGGAATCACAAAAATGGGCAAGCAATGAAAAATTATTAGAAATTTCAAAATACACTTGGAGAGAATAAGCTTGAAATTTTGGAAACAAAAAGCAAATTTTCTGAACTAAAAAAACTCAGTGGAAGTACTGAATAGCAGAGTTGAGAGAATTATTGGACTCATGAAGCATGGTGCTGATAAAATTATCCAGAACACACCAAGAGGCAAAATATCAAAGGGAGCTTATGAAACATGGAAAACAGAATGAGAAGATTTAACATATCTTTACCCAGAATACCAAAAGGAGAGAAAAGAGAGTAAAAACAGGTAATTTCTGAAGAAATGATTACCAAGAGTTTCTAGAAAGACAAGCATCCAGGGGATGCATGGCACATAGCATGCCAAATATGTAAACAAAAGAAATCTGCACCTAAATATACTGCTGGAAAACCAAAGGTCAAAGACAAAAAGGCAGCAACAGACAACAACTACATAGGATGGACAGAAGACTTATCATCAGCTGCAATGGAGACAAAAGGCAGTGGAAAAATCAGCTTCCATTAGAAGGGGACGGTGAAAGAGAAGTGAGTGAGGAACCTCAGTAAGCTGTCACAGCACTGTCCAGAGAGACAAAGTAATCAATCAAGGTAAGAAGCACCAAAGTGAACTCTAACATGTCGAGGAAACAGCCCATATGAGAGACAGGTGGCATTTCAGATCAATAAAGAAGAAACAGATTCACAAGTGGGACTTGGTATAGGTAGTTATCAGGAGGGGAAATGAAATTAGATTCTTACAGCACTCCATAAACAGGAATCAATTCCAGATGGACCAAAGACTTCACTGTGTACAGCAAAACTGAAACACTTATAGACTAAGTATAAGGTAATATTATTATCCCTGTGTAGTTAAGGTTTTTTTTTTAAAAGTCATAAAGCTCTAACCATAAAAGTGATAATAGAGAGTTCAAAACAAAGGACTTCCATTCATCAAAAGACACCACACAGAAAGTGAAAATATGAGCCACACATTGGAAGATAGTTTCTATAACAAAATAGGACCAGTGTTCATATTATACAAAGAACTAAAATAAGAGAAAAAGACAAACAAGTCCATAGTAAAATGACACAAGATATTGATAGGCATTTCAAAGATGAAACATAAAAGGTCAATACATGTGGAAATTTTTAAAACTCATTAATCTAAGAAATGCAAAATAAGAGATCCTATTTTCACCCACATAATTCAGAAAAATTAAAAGTATCTGACAACAGAAAGTGTTCACAAGAATGTGGATAAATGGGAACTCTATACGTTGTTGGCAGGAGTATAACTTGTACAAACACTTTGGAAAACAGGCTTCAACTTGTGAACCTTTTTCTATTCTAAAAATCATCAATTTCACTCCTAGAGATTTACCATGAAGAAAACCCTAAAGATACAGATCTTGTGACACAAGAATGTACACAGATTCAGTTTTCATAATAACAAAACTCTGCAGACATTCCAAATGTTCATCAACAGGAGAATGGTACATTCACAATGGAATATTCTACATCAAAGAAAACTTAGTGAACTAATGCCACATGCCACAAGGTGGATAAATATTAGAAATCCATAATTGAGTGAACAAATCAACAATACCAAGAAACAAGTTCAAAAATGAGGAAAACTAAAGAATATGTTTTTTGGAAATACATATTCAGCAAAACTATAGAGCAAAGCAAGGCAATAAACACAAAGCTAAGATAATCCCACTCTTTAAAGGGAGATGGCAGAGGCGGGGCAAGGAAGGAACTCAGAGGCCAAGGCAACAACACTGCAAATATTCTAGCTCTTAGGCTTAGTGGCAGGTTTGTGGTCATTTATTTCACTGATGAAAATAGAAGATATATATTAAATGGTGTATACATATATATGTATGTATGTAGTATATATGCTAGTATACACCCTTTTTAAAAATAAAGAAGGACTTAATACCTGGTTACCAGGAGGAGTAGGTAGAAGCCGTCTCTTTTTATTTTATAACTTTCTGTGATGTTGGCATTTTCTATTAACATATACTATATGTAAAAAAATTAATAGGGATCCGTGTTTGGTGCAGTGGTTAAAACGCTGCTTGAGATACCTGGATCATATATCACAGTGTCTGGGTTGAAGTCTCAGCTCCACTCCTGATTCCAGCATCCTCCTAATGCAAGCCCTAGGAGGCAGCAAGTGGTGGCTCAAGTACCTGGGTCCCTGCCACCTACATGGGAGACCTGAACTGAATTCCAGGCTGCTGGCTTCAATTTGGTCCAGCCCTGGCTATTCTGTGATTCTGGGGAATGAACCAGCAGATAGAAAATCTCACAGTGTATATGTTTATCTTTCAAATAACATACATTTCTAAAAAATGAAGAGGTTGTCTGTGTGAATGACTTATGGGATAGTTTTTTTTTTTTTAAGATTTATTTTATTTATTTGAAAGACAGAGTTACAGAGAGAGAGAGAGAGACAGAGAGAAAGGTTTTCCATCCACTGGTTCACTCCCCAGATGGCTGCAATGGTCGGAGCTGCGCCGATCCAAAGCCAGGAGCCAGGAGCTTCTTCCAGACTCCCACATGGGTGCAGGGGCCCAAGGACTTAGGCCGTCTTCTACTGCTATCCCAGGCCATAGCAGAGAGCTGGATCGGAAGAGGAGCAGCCAGGACTAGAACCGGTGCCCATATGGGATGCCTGTGCTTCAGGCCAGGGCGTTAACCTACTGCGCCTCAGTGCCAGCCCCTATGGGACAGTTTTTAATTTTCTTCTTTATAAGCTATGTTTACTTTTTAAAAATTAATATAGGGCTGGCATTGTAGCATAGTGGGTTAAACTGCTGCCTGCAATGCTGGCATCCCAAATGAACGCCAGTTCAAGCCCCAGCTGCTCCACTTTCAATCCAGTTCCCTGTTAATGTGCCTGGGAAAGCAGGAGAGAGTGGCCCAAGTACTTGAGGTCTCTACATCCAAGTGGGAGACCCAATGAAGCTCCCAGCTCCTGGCTTCAAGCCTGGCCCAGCCCCGGCTGGTGTGACCATTTGGGGAGTGAACCAGCAGACAGAAGATCTCTGTGTCTGTAACTCTGCCTTTGAATAGTAAATATATAAATCTTTAAAAAAAAGTTTAAAAAGTTCTTAAAACAAAAATGCTATTTTACACTTAAAAAAAAAAAAGAAAAGAAACCATAACAGATCATTGAGAATACTCACTTATTAAGTAATTCACATCAATGGAAAATACTACCTCAAATGATGTCAGAAATGGGGAATTTAGGAGCTGGTACTGTGGTGCAGTGGATAAAGCTGCTGCCTGCGGAGTTGGCATCTCATATGGGCACCGGTTCGAGTCTCGGCTGCTCCACTTTCAATCCAGCTCCCTGCTACTGTGCCTGGGAAAGCAGTGGAGGATGGCCCAAGTCCCCAGGCTCCTGCTCCTATGTGGGAGCTCCAGATGAAGCTCCTGGCTTCAGCCTGGCCCAGCCCTGGCCATTCAGCCATTTGGGGAGTGAGGCAAGGGAAGGAAGATTGATTTCTCTCCCTCTTTCTTTCTCTGCCTCTGCTCTCCTTCTCAGTAACTCTTTCAAATAAATAAATAAATCTTAAAAAAGAAATAGGGACTATGAATTCAAGTTTTATAGGGAAGAATATCTGCTTAAAAACACACAGTGCCACATATAAACCAGGTGGCAAATTCCATTTTCATGTTAGTTTTTTTCCTATTTTTGTCATGTGGCTGTAATTTTACATAGAGATCAAGCAAAACCATAAAAGATGTCCAGATCATTTGGGCCTGTGACACATCTAAATGGAAAAGGATTTTTTTTCTAAAAAGTCCTCAATAAGTTTATATATGATACAATAATTCACGTTTATTTTTAACGATAAACTGATTTGAAAGGATCTTACTGTTATCGCTTCATGTTCTTTCTTCACGTGTCCTCGCATGTCTTCTGCAGGCTTGGCCTCGGAGCACACGTTCTGCGCCTTCTCTACCTTTTGTCCTAGAGATTTCAGGGCAGGGTGGAAATTGACAGAGGAAATGTTTCCCACAGTAAAATCTGAAAATGACTTTCAGGTACAGGTACCAACTAAACTTATTATATAAAAAGGTACATAAAAAAAAGGAGTTAAGGGTCTGGCAAATTAGTCCACACTTGAGACCTGAATTCTGGCCCCAGAGGGCTCTGAAGAGTGGACTGAATGCTGCTCACACCAGCCAGCAGGTCCACCTAGCACTTTACGTGAGCACAGGGCAGGGGCAAGAAGACCTTCCCTTTGGGCCTTTTTGGAGGACACCTCAGATATCAACCTGGGTAGGCCAGGTGAACCAACAGAAAGATGAGAGCAAGAAGGTAGCTCAGGACTGCTTGAGAAAAAACCCTGATGAGAGAAAGCACAGAGGGTCCAGTGCTGTGGCACAGTGAGCTAGGCCTCTACTTGCGGTGACAGTTTCCTATATGGGCGCTGGTTCTAGTTGCTGCTCCTCTTCTGATCCAGCTCTCTGCTATGGCCTGGGAAAGCAGTGGAAGACGGCCCAAGTCCTTGGGCCCCTGCACCTACGTGGGAGACCCGGAAGAAGCTCCCGGCTCCTGGCTCCGGATCGTCCCAGCTCTGGCTGTTAGGGCCACTTGGGGAGACTTGGGGAGTGAACCAGCAGATGAAAGATCTCTCTCTCTCTCTCTCTCTCTCTCTCTGTCTTTGCCTCTCTGTAACTCTGCCTTTCAAATAAAATACATTATTTCTGGAGCTGCCGTATCATAGCAGGTCAAGCCACCACCTGCAGTGCCAGCATCCCATTTGGGTACCAGTTTAAGTCCCGGTTGCTCCACTTCCTATCCAGCTCTCTGTTGTGGCCTGGGAAAGCAGCAGAGGATGGTCCAAATCCTTGGGCCCCTGTATTCACATGGGAGACCTGGAAGAAGCTCCTGGCTTTGCCTGCCCAGCTCTGGCCATGGTGGCCATTAGGGGAGTGAACTAGTGGATGGAAGCGCTCTCTTGCTCTCTCTCTTTCTCTCTCTCCTTTCTCTGTAAAACTCAGCATTTCAAATAAATAATCTTTGGGAAAAAAAGAATAAAATACATAATTTCCATCCACAGCAGCTAATAACCTTTTCCACAGGTCTGGTCAATTCCCACTCATTTTCCACTTTTACAGCCCCTCCACAGCCCCTTCTCCACATCCTCCTCACCCTCTACCTACTTTGCTGCCCTTCCTTACCTTGGCTTGTAACACTGACTGCCCCCTCCCACTATAGCAACTCTGGACTTCTCTCTAGGCCTCAATCATATCAGGCTGCAAAAAAGTGGACGTGGACACTCACACACAAACATATGTATAATTTAAAATTAGGAGCTGGCATTGTGGCACAGTGGGTTTAGTCACTGCTTGCAACTTGGGCATCTCATGAAGGAGTGAAGGTTTGGGTCCTGGCTACTCTGCTTCCAATCCAGCTTCCTTAGCTAGTGTGCCTGGGAAGGCAGCAGAAGATGGCCCAGGTACTTAAGCTCCTGCCACCCATGTTGGGGATCAGGATGGAATTCTTGGCTCCTAGCTTTAGCCTGGCGCTCTTGCAGCCATTCGGGAAGTGAACCAGCAGATAGATTTCTCTCTCTCTGCTTTTCAAATAAATTTATAATTAAAAAAAAATTAAATAATAAAAACATTTTATTGCCAGAAATCCTATCCTTGCAATCAAATTCAAAAGCAGACCCTCTGGAAATATAGAAGACAACATGACAAGCAGTTTTCTCCCTCTAGCCAGAGTCTGTCGCTCCGTACCAGTAACTGAAGACACCACGTACCCTGAGAAGAACCTGAGCTCAGCGGCTCGGCGATGTCAGACGTGCTGCTGCTTCGAAGGACCTGCGTCTGTCCCACTGCGAGCTGACCAGACCCAGCAGTTTCTGACTGCTGACACTCTTCCACCTCTGCGAGCATTAACACAAAACGTGCACCATTTTAAAAGTACTGTCACCGCTTACAACAACTTTAAAAATCAATGTTTGTACATTTTACACATTTAGCAGAAAGATAATCTGCATGAACACAGTCAAGTTTCCTACACTTGACTAATATTCCACCTGAAGTATATATTTTCCTCTTTAGTTTTCAGTCTTTTTGTTTTCAACTAAAGTAAAGGGATAAAAAGGAAGCCATAAACATGGCTGAGAACTTCAAGGGTCGTTTGGAATTTCAAGGGCATACATGCCATGGAAAGAGAGGTCCAGAGACAACAGATAAATACACAACTGTCCCAAATAAAATGTTGTAATTATTTAACACTGTATGTCACCAAATGCAATGTGGAATTAATCACTAAGTACGAAAATGATCCACTGGTATTTTCAGAGAATCAATACACATTTGACATTAAATAGAAAACCGCAGAGGAGTACTGGCCCCTGAATATCTCAGCTAATATGACTACAAATGACTCCCCATGCAGACTGAGCTCTCTCCTAGTTCATTCGTAAACTGCATAGTTCATGTTAATCTGTAAAGACCACCCAAGGCCCGGGAATAATCATCCCACCCTCCAAAGGGCACAGCTCTGGGGTCACATCTTTTGCCCAGGTCACTTTAATAGCCTGCTAACTCATCATTGTCTTCTTGGTGCTCGTCCCCTCCCCCAGGGTCCCCAGAAAGGTCTCTCTAAAAGGTCTCTGCTCTTCTGAAAGTCACATGAGACCTTCCGTCATTACAAGGTCAAACCTGTGCTCATCAAGGTGAATAGAGTGCTCTCGTGGAGCTCACCCCACACACCAGTCTCCTACAAGACGCCCTGCTCACAGCTGGTCTCAAACAGTGCTAACACTGGGCACCTGCTGCTCTTGTTCTCCCACCGACCACTCCCCTTTGCTAACCTCCCCCATCTCCCCCTGGTCCACTATCCCTGCTTCCCATGTTGCCCTGGGAACACCACCCTACAGAACTTGCCACACAGTCCTACATGTCAAGCCCATAGCTATGCTCCTCACAGTCACAACCTTCACACCCACATGACCCTGACTTCATATTTTAAAAAAATTTTGATTAGCTGAAGTTTCACTTTTACTTCTAAGAAGGGACTGACTACACTGCAATGTGTGAGATAGTTCCTCACCTGAAATGGAGACTCGCTGCCAACAGGACACCTCTGTATAACACTTTCATCTGAACCATAAGCCAAAGCGATGGCTTACCCTAACCAAGAAGTTGTATGGAGGAAGATTCCAAATTTCCAAATTCAATACAAAGCATTTCAACAAAGGGCTGCTTCTTGACTTTTTCTAACAAAATGCAATTTCCAGTTGATGGTGAGCTGACACAATTTCAAGGCCTCAGAATTACAAAATGTGCATGATTCTTTATGTGCAATTCAAAGTCCTAGGCCACAGACTAAATGCGGTTGTGGATGGGAAACTGAGCCAGGAGTACAGGCAAAGACAGGCCAAGGCAGCGAGGACAGACAAAATGTCAGAGACTCATCTTCTGCAGCTGCCTTTGCTTCCCTCTTCTCTTGAACAGGAGAGAACTGTTCATCTCACAGAGAAGCACAAGGCATCTGTGCAAGCCTTTTACCTACCTACACTTCCCGAAAGCTCAGAGGAGACTCTGCACAGGTCTACTCTAGTGTCTTCCGCACAAGGCACAGAAACCAGGTAACACAGTGGGGCCAGCCCTCTGGCTGTCTTCTTTTATTGTTTATTCTAATTACACAAGATGGTGAAGCCTTCTGGAAAGTCTGTTAACGAACCTACTCGTTCATCCAGTAGCAGTAGAGGGAGCTCAAGAGCTTCCTAATTTCCTAAAAAAATCATTGGCAAGCGCCTGTTTTTATGGATAGTGGGAAGCGTGGGTTTTATTCTCTTAAGTATGATGCCAAAAACTGGTAGATGTTGGTTTCTGGGCTACAAGCAGAAGCAAATAATAACTGAGCCAACGCTGGCAGAACCTTTCTAAAGATAAAGAACATCGCCATCTGGTGGGATGCATTACAGCCACAGCACCATTGCTTCCAAATTAGAGTGTCCCCACTGGTCCTCAACACAGCAGACGGACCACGAGCCTGCCACCACCAGCTGGCCTGCCTTCCCAACAGACTGGCCTAATGCAGCTTTTAAAGCTCTGTTTTTGTAAAACTGTCAGGAGGGACTTCTCGGATGGAAGAAGCTCAAGACTGTAGAAAGAACGGAAGTGGTGGGAGGGGAGCACTGGTGACTGGAGAGGGAAGGAAAGGGACAGCCACAATGCCAAGAGTGCTGCTACACTGCTGGGGGCCCGAGCTGCTCCCAGAGCTGACTACCAAATGAGACACTGTGAAAACCAGGATTTTCAATTCTCCTTATCCCTCCATCTAAACGCAACTTCCTCATTCACAAGTATACAAGCCTTGGCCTTTTCTCATACTTTGTACTAAGTTTACACTCACTACATGTTTTGTATAATGGACAAATGAGTAACGACATTTTCTCAATACCTTTTCCCGTTTTTAACAGTTCTTGGGCTCCCTCTGCTGGCATTTCATTTCTTAAGAAAGCATTTTATGTTAAAGCTACCTCCATTCTGTGGTGTCAACCGTATGTAGTACCTGCTTTTTCATGAGACATGAAAATCACTTTAACACTAATATGCACATACGAGGATAGAGGACCACCTCATATTCAAAACAGAAGAAGAACCATCTAAATCACATAAGTTGTACTTTAAATCCCAGGAAATCTAATACATCCTATTTTGAATATTACACCATTTCTGTTTTAATCTATTTTGGATTCCCCAAATCATTTATGCTTTCTAATAACCAAATAACTCTTCTAATCTAATCTCAATAATCCAAATTTTTAAAGTATTAACTTGATAGTGTGAATTATGCAATACCATTATAAAACCATTGCTTTCTAAAACACCATTCCAAAAAAAAAAAAGGAAGATCAAATAAGATTCACTTAATTTCATTCATTTTTCCTGAATCAATATGATTAAATCAAATCAAGTGTGGAAGCCCTTTGGTAACTTCTTTCTTTTTCCAGATATCTGACTACTTTTTAAAGCAATTTCACTCATCCTTTAAGACTTTCTTAACTGCTTTTATTAAGTGGAGTAAGGCTCATTCTTCAATAAACAAAATTTGGGGTTCCATTTACTTCTCGTACAGGTTGCATAAGTGAAGTTAACACGGCAGTTCCCTGTTCTTTAAAACAGAGTGCATGATACTGACTTGACCCCATAAAAAGTACAGGTGATGCCATCGTAAGGCTTTCCACAAGGTCAGGCTTTCCAAAGGTCCTGAGAGACAGCACCTGCTGGAAGCCCATGTACAAGTCACAGAAGCCGCTTAGTGAGGCTCTCTTACTGGGTCCCGCTGGTCTTTTCAGAACAAGGGAAGATGGCTGCAGTTACTACTATTATAATATTCCTAAAAGAAAAGCAAAATCTAGCATCTGATAGATAAATACCCAACATAAAAAGCTGATAAAATCACAAATAGCTGGAAGGCACTGTTCTTTTGCCAATTCTCTCTCCCATATATTTCTTTAAGTAGCTATTCAGATTAACATAAACACGTGGTTATGACTTTCCCTAAATATTGCCTCGTATTCTGTTGCTGCCAAGTAAACGATCCAAAAGGATCCCAATAACATATAATAGTGGCTTCAGGTAAGTATTTATTGCTTTTGTTTTTAAGACAATTCTGGTGGTTAACTAATCATGTAGATTAGAAACAAAAACAAGAAATGTTAGCTTGAATAGAAACAACATTAGCAACCATTGATATGGTAAAGAACTTGTGTCCAGAAAGTAAAATTCAAAGTGTCTATACATTCTCCAGCAACAGGTGAAATGGAGCACCAAACGCATACTCTAACGTGCCAAGCAATGGAGAGCATCCAGCCCCTCTGACAAAGGATTACCATCCACTGTCTTGGCCAACGACCTTGGCAGAACCAAAGACAATGGAAATAAATCATCTTGAGGACTGAAGAGCAGACGGAATCAGACCATGCAGGAGCTGGGTAGTTGCGGGAAGAAACACAGAAGAGCACACTGTTCTCAAGGTTACTGTGCCCATACATTCTTTCACTGTTTGTGCTCTGAGACCAGGAACAAGGATGGCAAAAACAGGAAAACACAGACCCAGCCCGACCCTAAATCGGTGTTTCCCAACCTTAGCACTATGGCTACTTTGAGCCAGATAATTCTTGGCTGTGGGGCTCTGAGCTCTGTAGGACGTTGGCTTCCACTAACTGCATACCAGTAGCACCGTCCCACCGTAACAACCAAAACTGTCTCCAGACATTGCCAGAATCCTCCCTGGTGGGGAACTACTGCTCTGAGAAATTTAACTCCTATTGCAACTGTGTACGTATATACAGGAACCAATTTAATGCTGAAGGAGAACAAAGGTTCCAAAATTAAATTACTAATAGGAAGAGATTTTTTTTTGTGAGAACATATTCTGGAAAAACTAGTAAAAAAAAACTTAAGTGAAACAATATGGAAAAAATGGACTGTGAAATATAGTATTTCATCATGGGAAAAAATTCCTTTTGAGTGCGAATCTGCCACACAGGGGGCAAACACTTGAAATACTTTATTTTAACCATCTGGAAGCAGCGGCTTTCTTTGAAAGCCAAATAATCAAGCAGCTGATACTCATCAGTAACCTGACAGGAGACCCTTTCCCACCAATCCTCTTAATTGTTTTTCACCTTCAGTACTGATGAGAGACAAAAGATTTCCTAAACAACATCACAGCCCTGAGTCTCAGGAAAACTCACTTCTTCCCTTATATTCTGTAAGTTAAATAACACAGTCTTTGACATACCCTTCAAAGGACTTAATTTTGTTTTGCTAAACCACAGCATAACATAATTTAGTGCTACAGAAAGCCACAATTAGGCTATCTCCAATATTAAGAACATATTAACCTATAATGCTAGGCTTCTGAAAATAAAAGGAATATGAAAACATCTTAGAATCACTGACAAATAACTAGACACAGAAGTAATTATTCACTGTAGAGTAAAGTACATCCCGGTGGAAAGGTGGCAAAGCCAGAAGTCATTTTTATGCTATAAATCCCAACATATCAGAACAAACGCATGACTAACTCCAATGTCAACCACCTGAAGTCCAAGGACAGTGATTCTTTATTTTAGAATTCAGCATTTCTTCACATTTGTCTTGCTTTACTAAACTCTCCATAGTCCATATAAACCTGCCTAAACTGATCACTACTTTAAACATGGATATGACTTACCACCTCCAAGGAAGTCTTGCCTGTGTAATTTTTCTAGCTTATTCATTTTTCAGAAGGTACTACAAACCTTCTGGCATTGACATACTCAACACTTCTGGAAAACTGTATGAAAATTCCCCTACTTTCTACAGGCACTGGACGAGTACAGAAGACTCAAAGGAAGGTAGCACACTTACCCCATTAAAAATTATGGACAAAAAAATCCTTCTATCTTCTTTAATTGTAAATATAAATACCCGCGAGGTTACAGACATTTTCTTGACCATCTAATTGCTACTAAATATCTAACAACATATAAGCAGTTGTTGATAGTTACTGGAACTTAACGGGAGTGCGATTGTCAGGCATGTACGTGGAATGGGGGTTCTGACAAACAAGGCAAGGGCCAGAGGCAGTGGGAGGAGTCCAGGGACACTGATGGGCACGTGAGACAGTGTTACAGTACCTGACAGCCTGTGAGAGCAAGAGGAGTAAGAGAGACCAGGTAAGAGCGCGCCCACGGTGTGGAGGAGGAGCGGCACGCTCTGAGTGCCGGGCAGAGCCTCAGAAAGGCGCACACAGCTGCTGACAGACTGGCTTCGCTTAGCTTCCAGGAGAGATAAAGCAACAGTTACGTCAGAAGACCCCAAGACCTTCCCCTCTTCTGTGTCATTAGCTTTCTGGGCTCTGTCTAAACATGCAAAGCAAGTCAGTGCAAACTGTAAAGGAAGGTGGTCGCAGTACTTAACCAGAGTCTCTAAATACAGCCAACTTTCAGTCATTCTGACGAGGCAGGAGGACGGGCAACTCACAAATAATCAATTTTATTCAGAAATACTTTATGCTTAGACTTTCCTTTTCCTGCCATGTATCAGATTCACATTTGGGTTGTTTATTGGTGGACTTTATCATCAACGGACACATACACAAAAAGGCCATGAGGCGGAAATCCAGCCTATAATTTGCAATCTTTTATAAATAATAAATGATTCAGAAATCGATTTACTGAGAGATGACTGTATTCAAGAGCAAATCATTTAGTGAATTAAATATCCCAGAAGCTCAAGAACATGTGAGAGTCAAGTGGTACATGCAAAGACTTCACCATTTGACAGAGGTAAAAACCACCATGAAACCATCCCTTTATACCACATTTCATGCTCATTAAACCCAAACTTTCTTAGTGCCAACTTTATCATGTCCTTAAATTTTCTATATATTGTTAAATGAACAGACACAGACAGCATGCCTCAAAAATAAAAAACCACAACCAGTTCCATAAGTTTTGTCCTTAAAACAAAAATCTAAAAATTTACTTATTTTTGTGACTTAATATGAATAAAATAATTAAATTTGTAGTGACATATTTGCAAAAAGTGACATAAACTCTTTAGTTTATTATCCTTTCTCCTATGCTTTGTCTACCAGAATTCCCACTGACAGGACTATCTGCAATGTGATTAGGTTTAATTCACTCATAAATGTAAGACAACAGGTAAACAAAAACAACTTCCACGGAAATCTCCAACTAACCACATCAAGTTTTCTGAAAGATATGTTCATCTTCCAATGATGTCAAGAGACTTTTCCTGTGAGTGTTTTTTTTAAAAGTTACTCTAAATTCAACGGATTGTGTGTTGTTCTCAAAACTGATCACTAGTTATTTTAGAAATAATAAAACACATAATATTTGTGTGGATACTGAGTCAGACTTGCTCTGATCAGTCCTCATTGTAGACACTGAAACTCTTCCCACCCAGGCTCAGGGACACAGCTCTCCTTCACAGCTCTCCATCCCCGCCTTGCCAGGCCTCTTAAGTCACACACTGATGTACCCTGTTAAACTGTCATCTCTCTACAGTGCAGTGCTGATTTTATATTTCCCTGTGCCACCATCAGTGATATTTTCTCTACTTAGGTAAAATCTGTGAGCAAAATCATCATCTGATCATCTTGAACTTTTCTCTTAGTGGGACTGGGGGACGGCAGAAGTTACTGTCAAACGGGCCTTTCATAGGAAGCAACTTATTCTACAAGCAGCAAAAACTAACTTCATGAGCCGTTGTACTGTCATCAAAAGGTGGCCTCTGCACAAATCAAACTTTATCATGAAAATATTCAGGGCCTTTTAAAAGAAGAAAAGTTAAGTTATTTCCCAACAGGACTAGGGGCCGGTGCTATGGCATAGCAGGTAAAGCCAAAGCCTGTAGCACCGGCATCGCACATGGGTGCCAGTTCGAGTCCTGGCTGTTCCATTTCTGATCCAACTCCCTGCTAATGTGCCTGGGAAAGCAGTAGAAGATGGCCCAAGTCCTTGGGCCCCTGCACCCACATGGGAGACCCAGAGGAAGCTCCTGGCTCCTGGCTTCGGCCTGGCCCTGCCTTGGCCGTTGCGGGCATTTGGGGAGTGAACCATTTGGATGGAAGACCTCTCTCTCTCTCTTTCTCTCTGCCTCTGCCCCTCTCTGTAACTCTGCCTTTCAAGTAAATAAATATTTTTAAAAAATTAAAACTGGCCGGCGCCGCGGCTCACTAGGCTAATCCTCCGCCTAGTGGCGCCGGCACACCGGGTTCTAGTCCCAGTCGGGGCGCCAGATTCTGTCCCGGTTGCCCCTCTTCCAGGCCAGCCCTCTGCTGTGGCCAGGGAGTGCAGTGGAGGATGGCCCAGGTGCTTGGGCCCTGCACCCCATGGGAGACCAGGAAAAGCACCTGGCTCCTGGCTCCTGCCATCGGATCAGCGCGGTGCGCCGGCCGCAGCGCGCCGGCCGCAGCGACCATTGGAGGGTGAACCAACGGCAAAGGAAGACCTTTCTCTCTGTCTCTCTCTCTCACTGTCCACTCTGCCTGTCAAAAAAAAAATATTAAAAAAAAATAATAAAAAAATAAAAAAAATTAAAACTAACTAAAACCACTAATATTTAATCACTGCAGATTTATTATACAGCATGATATAAAAGAATCTTCAGAGAGGAATGCTTTTGAGATTCATATTATTTCATATTCTTTAAAAACATAAAATATAATAGGAAATATATATCCACATGTGGAACTGTCTACCAGAATAGCTCTCATCTTCATTATATTTCAAAGTTCTCACATTTAAAAATGTAAGGAAGCCTACAAAGACCAGGCCCAGGTTTTGTATTATATGCTGCATAAACACCTTTATATAAAGGCTGTTCTCCCCATGCCGTGGCCTCTCAGATACCTGACGGCTCTGATGAACAAAACCTCACTGGCCTAACTGTGCTGAGCTTCTCCCAAAACATACTGCTGGCTCTACCATGCTGGGGTTTAAAATACGTGCTGAAAATGGCACCTCTGCAATGGCTGTGTTTTGACCAAGTAGAGGCACATGGAATATGTCATGTGCAACAATTTGTTGCTCATTGAAATGTGTGAATAAAACTGAAAGTGTTCAGAATGCCCACTTTTGGAATAATTGTGATCTGAGGCTTGTGAGGGACAGCAGGAAACCTGGGTGGCTCAGACAGGATGCCACCTTTGTTACAAGCTTCTAATCTCTTTCTCTTAAGGATCCAGTGATGGAGGAAAAGACGTTTTAGAAGTCGGAATGGAAAGAAAACCAGTGAATGAGCAAACGTACAAGCTCCTGTCATCAGGAACGGGTTCTCTCCTCAGGAGAGAGAGTAAGCAGAAAGCTGTTAATTACCAACTAGTGCTACAGCAAAAAGCAGGAGGCGTCAGATGTAAGGTGTAACTCATTTGCATAAGAACTTAAATACAAACTTTCTTTCTAGAGATTCTTTTTTTAAAAGTTAAACAGAGCAAAATAATCCATTAACTTGGAGGTCCTTGGTTAAGTTCCCATTAATTTAGATGGACTGCAAAGATAGTATCTATAGGCATGAAAAGCTAAACTTTCCAAAGAAGACAAAAATGAAAATGTCTCCAGCCAGTCTTGAAAACCAGCTGCATCATTCTCTTTGTCCTTGCCAGAGCAGGCTGCTACACTCTTGTAGGAAAAACACTGCTTAATGCGACAATAATGCAACCACTGCTGCCTTTATTGAGAATCTATTTCTTCAAAGTTCAAACAAAACCTCTATTTTGTATAAATGTCTCACTTATTATTAACATCAAGGGGCCAATGCTCTGGTACAGTGGGTTAAAGCCCCAGCCTGTGGCGCCAGCATCACATATGGGCATCGGTTTGAGTCCTGCCTGCCCCATTTCCGAACCAGCTCCCTGCTAGTGGCCTGGGAGGGCAGTGGAAGAAGACCCAGGTCCCTAGGCCCCTGCATCTGCGTGGGAGGCCCAAGAAGAAGCTCCTGGCTCCTGGCTTTGAATTGGCTCAGCTCTGGCCATTGTAGCCATTTGGGGAGTGAAACAGTAGACAGAAGACCTCTCTCATTTCCTTGCTCTCTCCCTCTATCCCTCTCTCTGTGTAACTCTTTCAAATAAATAAAAAAAAAAATAAACCTTTAAAAAAAATCTCCAGAACTGTAACCTAAATAAAAATTTATTTATAAAATTAAAAAAAAATTAACATCAAACTTTTTTACCACAATGGATAATTTAGAGATGAATAATGAAAACTATGATTTGAATAATAAACTGAATAGAAAGCTAAAAAGATGCAGAGACATTTCATTTCACAAAAGAACTAATATTTAAATTCTGATAACTTTGGAAACATTTTATTCCCATAAGCCATTTTCGATATGAACATGATTTGTTTGGATGAATGCTTACCGGTTGCTTTCTGGCGGACATTATTTCTGGCCTTCTCAGCCCCCGGGGCTCCAGACGTGGTGGCGCTCCGAAATCGCATCGGCTCAGCCACATCCGGGTGGCTCCTCCAGCTCAGAGAAAACGATCTGCCCACGCTGGTTCCTTTCTGGGGGTCTGGAACACAGCCTGATAAAGGGCCCACGGTCAGAAAAACCATCTGAAGGCTAAAGTGATTTCATTCTGTCACCGGTGTTGCTCAGCAAATGGCAGCCCAGCAGTGATACATAATCAGCCAGTTCCTCAGTTGTAAGTTAGGAACGATGTCTCTACAGAATCTACTGCTAAAAATGCGAGGAACTAATTTTTTACCAAGACATAGAACAAAACCAAACAGCTCCCATCTCAAGAATCCAGAACCTCTCCACATTTCCCAGGAAGGGGCAGAATTCATCTTCCCAGGGCAGCATCTTGATGTAGTTGGCCATGCCCAGCTTTCATTTCTGGCTTTCCCATTTCTTAACCATGTGACCTTGAGGGAGCCAGTCACTGTAAGGTCTCCGACCCCCAGCTTCTTTGTCTATGATACGGGATGATATCAGTATCTGCTTCACAGAGTTGTCATAAATGTGAGGTGAGGGGATATGTACAAAGCACCAGCCATTATTGCTGTGACTGTCCTTCCTGTTAGTTGACATGACTATGACTAGGAACACTTCCTTTTTATCCATCCTTCTTCCACAGACTCTTCAGAAACCCACCATTCTCATCAAGGGAAGACAGGGATATGAGACACAGCTAACATCATCATAAAAAAACACTGTCAGTTCTGGTGTTGCGGCGTAGTAGGAAAACCTGTTGCCTATGATGACAGCATCCCCTGTGGGTGCTGGCTCAAGTCCTGGCTGCTCCACTTCTAATCTAGTTCCCTGCCAATGAGCTTGGGAAGGCAGCAGAGGATAGACCAAGTGCTTGGGCCCCTGCACCCATGTGGGAGAGCCAGAACGCTTCTGGCTCCTGGCTTCAGCCTGGCCCAGCCATAGCCATTGTGCCTATTTGGGGAGTGAACCAGCAGGTGGAAACCCCCCCCCCCCAATCTCTATAACTCTGCCTTTCAAATTAATAAAATAAAATCTTAAAATAATAAAAAACAACCACCATCTGTGACTGCTTCAGTTCCTGATGAACATAACATATATGCACTAATTTCTTGGAAGCAATACACAAATACTGCCTCCTCCCCAACCCCAGACACGTGGTGTGACCCTGGAAGAGTGGGAGCACCTTTGCCTCGTTGCTTCTTTTCCTTTTGTTCACTTAATTTATCCAGAGGTAGGTTTGTCATCTCCACTCCATAAACGGTTCTTGCGAGCACAGCTGTCAAGGAGTCCATGATGTTGGCCCACTCGTGAATGAGCTCTTCCCATTCTGTGAGGGAGGACAGCACCCTGAGGAAGTCGTCCCAGAGCTCCCGAGAGATGAACACGTAGAGATTTGCTCGGATCCAAGCCACGATGAGCGTCTACAATCAACCAACCAACAAGAGAATCCAACAGTCTCCATCTGGAAGGAGTATAACTTTCTCAACAAGTTACTTTAAATTGCTATTCATAAAGCACATTTTAATATAAAAACTAATTTTGGATGTTGTTTTCTTTTAGTTTCTCCAAATTCATTTGAGCAACTATAATCAGGACTGAGCCACTGTGGAGTCAGCTAACATCACAAAGTTTCTGATTCAGTATCATTTTGGAATCTGTGGCTGGCTCTGGGTACAGTTACAGAAAAGACAAAGCCCTCTGACAACGACTCTTCTGTTTCCTGAGACAGATCTGTCCCTCACTCTGCAGTGTGTGGACTCTTCTCTACGTGAACCTTCAACTCATCTCTCTTCCCTGATTTTCAACAGAGGAACTCACTGCGGACATCAGAGGATGCAGCACCCATCAAAGGAGAATCTGCCCAACCTCTGCCCATAAGACCCTCACTCTCACCTGCACCCACCCAGCTCCTCCTCTGCTGGTGGCTGGAACCCATGGGGGCCTCCTACCCTTCCACACCATTCCCCATTCATACTCTGGACCTTTCCCCAGAGTTTCTGGGCTTCTATCAACCCTGCCTCTCCTTTCAACTGCTCTGGCTCTCTCCCTCCAACACCACTCTGCCGTCGGCCCGGGTTTCGGCCTCCATTCCCTTGATCCAGTTATCCCCTGGATGTTACTGCCTTCCGAATCTCCATAACCAGCCCTGATGTCTGCTCACTTCCTGACCTACCTACCCCTCCGCAGACAGCTCTACTTGGATGTCCCACAAGCACCTGTAATACAGCATAACAGAAGAATCTAACTGTTCCCACGGGATCTGCAAGTTCCTCCACCTGCTCCCTCCCGCTCCTGGCACAACCTGGACATCACATCCTTCAGGAGGGAATCCTGACTTCCCTGCCTTCTCCTCCCAGCCTGGCCCCCAACCTCCAAGAAACATCCTTCAGCTCTCACAGTTCCCTGCACCTCCCCACCAGAGCACCAATCCTTCCTCACCTTGACAGTCTATTTACTTCCCTGTGTCCCTTTACCAGTCCACAGCATTACAGCTGGTCATGTGGGCAACTCCATGAGACAGTTAATTACACTTACATTCTGGGTATATCTTGACCTTGCAATCACCCCGTTTTCTTCCTTCTGCCAAAATATTTCACATCTTTTAAACTTCAAATCAGAATATATCTCTTCTAAAAGAAGTCCCTCAAGGGAGCTAGGTTCATCTCAAATGAGTCCCCAATGTTTCTCTAATCTTATTAAAAAAGAATCAGCTCTCCCAGTCTGTTGTCAAAGACAAATGAACGTGTTAGCACACGTCTCTGCCTACCCCCAGATGCAAACTGCCTCCTAGGCTTGTTGGGAGTTTCACTGTATAAGGCATGGGAGTGACTAAGCTTTTTAAGCTTTTTCCCTCAAATTATGTATAGTTGGTTTTTAAGACAAAAAAATTTTTTTAACACAGACACAGAAAAACTTCAAAAAACAGAAATCAACACCTAATTAGGAAGGCCAGGTCTGACCATTTGAAAAATGTTTAAAATGACTCTTTTAATATACCTATTTTCTGTATTTCATTTCACCTTTACTATACTTTCTAAAAGATAGTATATGGAAAATATTATTTTAAATACTCATTTAAAATACAACACCAGCATAATAAATGCTTTGAAAATTATCAATGTAAAGGAAAAATAATTTTATTATTTATTATTATCATTTCAACAAATTTATTATGACCAATATGCCAGCTTCTGTCTATTCATTTTTATACTTCCATCTTCAAAATGAGTTTGTGGCCATTACCATAAAGTACATATATACAATAAAATAAATAAATGTAAATAAGTAAATATAATAAGTATCATCTTAGCCAAGTAAGGAAAAAGTAGAGACTGGCAATGCCACTGGAGCTCAGCCTCACATCTGGTGCAACACTGTCTCCCAGACAGAACTTGTGGACTTGTTATGAGAATCTGGCTTCCTTTACCAAGTATAAACCATGAACAGGATGACCTGCTACAGCTGACAAAACTCATCTCAGCAAATGCCACAAACACAAAGCCCAATGAATCCTCATCATAGTTCACAACTCACAACACTTGCACACAGAGCAAAATCATAAAATAGAGTTGGGGGATGAGACACGGCTCCTTTGAACATGAAGGCAGGGCGCCCTTTTGATCAATGACCCTTTTCTAAATGAAAGAGGGAAAGAGAGCGAGCCCTAGCCTCTTGATTCCATCACTATCTTAGCTTGTGACCCGGGACAAGTCACTTGGCCTTTCTGGAGCTGCATTTCTCAACAAAAATAACAGAACCCTAAGAGTCCTTCAGTGCTGAAAGTCAATGCTTTATTAGCTACAGTACAACACATAACTGGATAAAAAAACACCTTAACTCAAAAACCACTCCTCCTCCTAGGTACACTTGCCAACCAAACCCTCCCTACCTCCCTCCACCCAGCATACTTGAGGGCGTTACAGATCCTGACACTTTCAGAGGCTGGAGCTTAAGCCGGTTGGAGCACCCACAATAGATTCAAACACCACTTGGGGCAATCACGGTTATTTTGCAAATATTTAAAATGGAGTCAAATCCAAACATCATTTGAAGTGAGTTTCTAAGATTACCTGGTACTGACAGAGAAAAACACATATTAAAATAAATAAATAAATCAGAGAAAGGGCAAAGGATCGTAGTAACTTAAAAAAATTTTCTGTCCTCTTTAACAACTTTCTTATTAAAAAAAATTTTTTTAAACCAAGTAGCTGACCATCGTAGATAGTTTACATGATCAAACAAATAAAAATTAGCATGTCTTATCTGTAGTGAGAGACCAAAGCAAGCCCCACTTGGCAGCCTGCCAACCTGTGCTGGCCCCTTCTCCTTCCTGGAGCTCACAGGGACTTGGGAGGCCAACAGATGACTGTGAATCCCAAGTGAATGCGCTCCAATAACCTTGCAGGGCAGGAAGGAGTCCTCCTCTGATTGTGACTCAGAAAGGTGAAGTGAGGTGGTGGGCTCAGAACCCAGCGTCTGTCCAACTCCACAGAGCTCATCCTCTCTCCACTATTTTACGGTTAGTTCTTACTCTAAGCACCTTTTCTTGATCTAAGTAGTGCCAAAATAATAACAAAGACATCAAAATCACTAATACTCATGGACCTAAAACTGATCTTTAAGGAAGCTCTGACAAGACTTCTCCATGAATGGGGCGGTAGGAGCTTTTTCCCAAATGTCAAAACAGAACAAAAAAAACCCCCACAATTCACAACTCTGATGGCTTCTGGCTTAACTGTGTTATAAGTTCTCTCTCTCAATTCAAAAAAAAAAGCAGCAGCAGCAGCAGCAGCAGCAGATCAGACAAATGGTGAGGAATGAAACCCAAGCACTGGTCAGCCTGACACTGGCTTCGGTTCATGTCCACCTGGCAGCCCAGTCCTAGCAATGGGAGCATGAGAGGGTGCCAACAGAGAGACTCTACTGATCGAGCAAACAGAGCACAGTGACTGCAGGTCCAGGTGGAAGGCAAATCAGTGGTCAGAACCACCCTCCAGGCCATAGCAAAAAAGAATGTGCAGGGCCACTTGACAGACCCACTAAGGAGGCAAGGCAATCCGAGGACAAGTGGTGCTATTTAGGAGGCTGTTGAGGACTTACAAATTGCTTCTACAAAGAAGATTAACATTAAATTATGGAACATTAATAAGAACAATTGAGTTCTCTTCATTACAAGGGACATATTTAGCTCTAAAGAAATGATTTCAATTTCTCTTTTTGATTCCTTCACCCACATGTTGTATCTGTTTCCTAAATACACTCTTAATATATATTCTCCAAAACCACCTTCGGGTCATCTGGGGAGGGAAGTTAGTGTCTTCTCCCTGCAACCCTGTCTTCCCACTATGCTTTGTCTACTGCATTGTTCCAAGTCAGGCTCACCCATTGTACTAATGCTTTCATTTGCATGGAATATCAGATTTTTCCAGAGACCTTTCACAATGTTCTTGTTCAGAGAGCTTCATACATCTGTGTACCCTACAAATACCAGCAATGTTGCAGTTAGCTGCAGCCCTCAAGGCCCTTTGACACTTCCTCCTCCCCAAGCGGTTCAACGGACATCAGCCTACTCATGCTGACCCTGCTCATCATGTGGCATGTCACAAGCACAGATGTCTCCTTGGCGCTCTCCTGGCACTGAAGGCCAGGCCAGCTTCCCAATACATCTGTGATTTCACATTTGCAATGCTGTCTTCCCTCCTGGGAACATCTACTGGTGAGCAAACACACTTGATTACCACCGACCCTAAACCCTGCCCTCCGCACATGGTGCCCACTCCAGCTAGTTCCCCTTTCCTCCTCTGAGCCACATGAGACCTCTGTGAAAGCCTTGTCTCTGTCTGCTGCCCTCCACCACCTGGCTCCCATCTGCTCCCCACCCCCTCCAAGGGGGCCTCGTTCCTCTAGAACGTTCCCAAACACCTACACCTCACCAAAGACAGTGGTCAACTGGCTGCTCTGCTCTTGCCAGGCATCCCTGGTGCACATGTTTCTGGTTGCCCTCCTTCCTCAGCATCTCTGGCTGGCTCCTGCCCACCCATCAAGCAAGGAGGTGACCCTCTTCTCTCTATGGCACCTACGCCCTTCCCAGGTGACCCCAGTCCTGTAATGTTAAGTTCAACTGTCCATCACCATGATTGCTATCATGTGTTTTATCCCATTCCCGAGCTTCGTACCTCACCAAATCTGCCTGGCCCTCCAGCAAGGCCAGCAGTTTCGGTCATCTTCCTAATTGCTACCACTTTCAAGCATATTGAAAGAGGCAGAGTGCAGCAAAGCCTAAAAGCCCACAGCTAATTGTAAAACAAAACAAAACAAAATATCACATCCTTCAAGGACAAAGCTAAGAAGGAAAAATTATAATTAAAATTCTAGAAATTCCAAGTTAGTTTAGTGTTGTTCTTAAATTTTGCAATGATTAAAACTAATTTGCTGTAAAACCTGATTAACTTCTTATATTTCCAGTGTTTTAATAAAAAAGACTTACCCTAAATAGTAACCCTGCCAAGCTCTGGGCAAACAAGTCCTTTATTTGTTTTTCCTTTGGCTTCTGCATGACAGCTTCTGTTATCCTGAGTAGTATTTGCAACATCTGCTCCCTAGGCCACCCAAAACAAAAGCTTATATTAATAACCACATCTCCAAAGCACTTTAACATAATTACAGGTATGAGAAATTCTCTTAAGAATCCAGCATCATTGACAAATCATGTATTGCAATTGTTAAAATCTGAATGCCAATTACATAATGAAAATCCTACTTGTGATTTATGACTATTCTACAAACACCTCCCATGTCCACAGCCACAGGCATGAGAAGACACTCCCAGCTTGATTTTCTCCCCTGGCAAAAGGGAGGCAAAAGATGGTTTTCCCCAGGCATGCTGGCACCTTGAAGGTACCTGGTAAGGCACTCAGTGAAAGGCTGTGCCTCTGAGAATTTTATGTAGCAGTCTTTAATTTCCCCATCCAGTATTTTACTTAACCTGGAAGATCCCCCTACCTAGCTTTGTGAGAAAAAATACAGTGGACCTTCTGGTTTTTATTCTGAGAACAGATGCAGTCCACACATCACAGCGTGGCAGAGCCACACGGTCCTCCCACAGGTCGTGAGTAGACACTGACAGGCGCTGAGCTTGTGCCTGGAGGACACCGGCTCTGCACAGGGCACCGCAGGGAGCAACCAGGACACCTGCAATGTGGGCACACAATGTGCCAGCGCTCCGGTGCTCCTGCAGAGGGGACTTGCTGTGGAAGGTCTCTGGAGATCATAAAACACTCCTGTGCAGAGACAACATCACACTGCTAACCACAGCACTCAGAGTTTTACAACTGAAGGGCGTTCTTTCTTACAGCTAACTTCCAGTCCTCACGTCACAGTGCCTGCTCTCTTGGTCTTTCCCTAGGTTCTGTGGGAACACAGAACATGGTCTCTTTCCTATGTAATGAAGGAAAATCACTCTGCACTTCTGGGGTTGGTATATTCTATTATTCTATCGTTCATCTTCACTACTCTCTCCATGACCTTGTCATTCTTCAGTGAAAAAGTTGGGAATGGCATGAATTAACCTTGGTTACATCATAAGACGCCTAAATCATAGTTCGCTCATACTTTTCTCAGGTCTCTGCATGGCAGAAGAGCGTTTTGTATGCAATGCTGAATCTTATTAAACTGATCATGGGAGCGTGACTCTGAGAAGCTCCTGCCTTCTTTGTAGCTGACGCTGTCTGATTTTGGTTGGCATACGCTCTCACTGTACAAATTCCATCTCTTTGCCTGTCCCTATATGCCGCCTGTGGGTTCCGCAAGTGTGAAGAGGGAGCATTTTCAAGTGTGGACGGTCTAGGCACATATGCGTGAAGTGGGACAGCAACTCTGAAGAAGAGAATCCGGGAAGACATGGTAGAGGTGGAGACAGCCTGTCACTCACCACAGTCAGGGCACCCATGTCCCTGTCACAAGGAGGGGAGAGCAACACCCAGTTTCACCAATGCCTGCTTATACTAATGATGCATGCAACACCATGACAAACACTTCATCCACACAAGGAGCTGTGCGCCCATCATGCAAATGGGATGAGAATGACAGCCTAAGTTTCACAAAAAATCTTGGTGATAAATTTTATCAAAAAGCACAAAGGTGACGAAAATAAGGGCTGACAAAAAGAGAGGTAATTCAATTTCTGAATCTATGAATCTTGGGAAGCCAGGAAGTTCCATGCAGAGTCTTCTGCACAAACAGGAAAGTGAGAAAGCCGTCCAGAGTTTGGAAGAATCTCTGCTAACAGGAGAGAGATGCTGGCTTTGGCTGCAGCAGGTTTCTTCCTATTTCGTGCGACACTGACTTTCGGCCCCTCCTCCTCACAGACTTCTCTGGGAACGCATGACATTAGGCAGCTAACTGTCGTTGTGTCCAGAGGAGTGAGGGCTTCTGCGTTCCTTACTATTTACCTTACCGCTATGCTCTCACACAGCTGATATGTTTGCGCATCCACCATCCCAGGACCTCTTCTTACCACGGCTCTGGCTACAGCCCAGGCCTGAGCCCTCACCCTCTGTGGCCGTGGACTTGGGGCTTCTCTGTACTATTTCCCACCTGGCAGAGAACTCTGGAGCATGTGCAAGGCAGTGGCCTGTGCCCTCATCATGTTCTGCAAGGCCTGTGTAGCCCAGCTCTGGCCTGCCTGCTTGCAGCTTCCCCTCCCACACTCTCTCTGCTCCTGCCTGAATACACATTCCTTCTCCCTACACCAGGACTTCTTGCACCTGCTGTTCCTTCTACAGGAATGTTCTTCCCCCAGACGACCTCCTGGCTCCTCTCTCCTTCCTTGGGGCTCTGCTGGGAAGGAGCTTCCCTGACACCTGATAAACACAAAGCCCCTGGCCTCCACATTGGGCAACACCCATCCAGCCCAAGACTCCCTGACCCCTTCCCCTGCATCACTGCTCTTCCCAGCACTCAGTACCACCTGAAACTGCTTATGAGGCTATTCTAGCAGAACATGGCCTCAGAAGGCTCACTCTCCACTCTAACGGTATAGTGGAGGCTCAGTGGTTATTTTTGGGGGGAAGGAAAGGAGTTAGGGAGGGAGGAGGGGAAGGAGAGACGTGTGTAGGAGTGGAACAAGGGCTCGTCTGGTGCTCACAGACACAAGATCTGTCATAGAAGCAGCTCACATGCCTTTCACTACTCTATGGACTCTTCTTCGGGGAGTATTTTCAGCAATGCCCAGATTTTTTTTTATTTAATACTTTTACCTGGAAATCTTCCGAATTAGAAAAGAACAGAACTGCTTAATTTTATTTCCTAGAATTTTCAAGAAAATAAAAAGTTACCCCAAAGCACGGAGATACTCATACTGTGGCTACAGTGGCATGCAGAATTCATAGAGGTTTCAAAGGCAGAACCATGAACAATACCACTGATACAACCAGGGTATTGAGGCACAATATTTCAATTGAGAGCACACCAGCACTTCTCATTACTTTCAGTATTACTGATGTGGTACTCATGTCTGTTTAGATCGTACTGCGCATCACTGTAATACGTCGAGCCTTAACACCTACTTAGCAAGCAGTGCTACATTTAAAAGTCTGGGGAGGAGGCCACTGGAATGTTCCTGTTGCGTCATCACTTTGTGACTCTTGTATCTGTGTACTTTCTGCAACACAGGGTTCCTCTGGACCCACCGTTTCCCTCTCGCAAATGAAAAGGACTGAACTAGGGAGCCCACAGCCCCAGCTAGCTCCCACATCCCTAGGGGGTATTCCACCAAGTGCAAAGAGACTCTGTGCAAAGCACCCTTTGTGCAGACTCCAGGGCAGCGGGAAGAGAGAGGTAGCGAAGAGGACTCCCCAGGGATGTCCAGGAAGGGAAGGCTGTCACCCGCTGGCCTCAAGTAGAAGAGCACCGAGGAATGTGGATCACAGCCAGGTGGGCAGGGGCTGGTGGCTGAGCGGCAGGCGCACACGAAGCACAGGACTTAGAGGCATTTCCAAGACAGGACGGGGAGGCGGCCTTCTCAGCACGTGGGGAAGAGGAAGGAGAGGAGAGTAACTCTGAGGCCTTCTGGTCTGTTGCTGAGAACCACCCAGAATACGAAGCGCACGGTCGGTGCAGGGGAGGGGAGGGAGTGTGGACTCCAACGCGTTGTTAACCTTCAGGGATACTATAAAACCAAAAACCAAGATGAAAGGGAAGGAGAAAGCTTTGAACTTTTAATGATGCCACTACATGTCTGACTGTACTATTTGATTAGTCACTTTGATATTTTATCACTTAAAATAATTGTTTTTCCAAAATGAACTTACAACGTTAAGTCTGAAGCAATAAAAACCAGTTTACAATGTTTTAGGGAAATTAACAAACTCTCCTGGGCACAGGAAGAATGATATTATAAGACATCAGTTGCTGCTTTTCCTGAAAACCATGTCTGCTGACAGTTTTGAATGGAAAAATCTACTATTAAGTAACAGGATGACTTATTCTTAGTTCAAGAGCATTTTTCAAGACAATAATGAAAACAAAGGACTATCAAAGCCCTGGGTCCTTACCTTCTTCATAATTCAGAGAAGCTGTCACAAAAGACTGATTAGCATCTTTTTGTTAACTTTGTAAAGCCACGAAGTAAATGGAAACTTTAACTTTTTAATTATGCTCAAAAACCAGAAACATCTGTTTTTCAATGTTAATTAATTTGAAATAAGCTTACCATGTCTTTTTATTCATTGTAAGCTCCATTATCATGCGCCTAAAAATAATTAAAACGGCTTTACAAGCATCAACTTGTTCTTTCAAGAGCATGGGAACTTCAGCACATGGTTCCAACAAAAAGACGTTTGCAGCATTTGTCAAAAACACCTTAAAATCAACAGTTTTGGATTAGAAAGTGTAATTAAATATATACATCTGAACAAATTTTGCCTAAAATAACGATATTAATTTCATTCTACCTATAAATCACCTTTGAGTTATTTCTACACAGATTCTGTTTCAATATAGCAAGTGGTACCAAACACATATTCAAGACTTTTTTAACAGCAGGCATGGTTAAGCCACAGCTTGGGATACCCACATTCCATATCAGAGTGCCTGGTTCCAGTCCCAGCTACTCCATGCTTCCAATCCAGCTTCCTGCTTATGTTGGAGAGGCAGCAGGTGATGGCCAACTACGTAGGTCCCTGCCACCCACATGGGACACCTGGATGGAGTTCCTGGCTCCTGACTTCAGCCTGGTCTAGACCTAGTTTTGCCGGCAGTTGGGGTGTGAACCAATGGATTGAAGATCTCGCCTTTTCTCTCTCCCTCTCTTGTCTTTTTGCCTTTCAAATAACTACATTTTTAAAAAGATTGAAGATCTCGCCTTTTCTCTCTCCCTCTCTTGTCTTTTTGCCTTTCAAATAACTACATTTTTAAAAAGTTTTTTTTTTATCTTAGTTCACCCCTTAGAATCATTTAAATACCAAGATATCGACATGGCCTTTTCCTAAGGAAAAACTGCAACTTTAAAAATTTTATGAGTCAGAAGAGCTTTTTTTTGAGACTTCTTTCTGACAATCAACAAAAAGAAGACGGGGTGTGTGTGTGTGTGTGTGTGTGTGTAGATAAGATCATTGTGTTTAGATGAGCAATGCTGGGTGCAGGGAGAGGAGGAGAACAGGAGGAAGGGTCGGATAATGGCCAGACAGAACCACAGGATTCTTGCTGACTCCCCCAGGACATGAACTCCTGATTCCTGACAAGCGTGGCCAGCACCAGACAACAGAGGTGAGGGCCTGGAGGTGCAGCGGTGTGCCGGGATGCTGCACAACTCCCAGGAGTGCATGCTTTTATTATGAGAAATGTATTTTTAGAAGAATATAAAATGTGAGCGACTTCTTGCAAAAACTGAGATTCAAAAAAAAAAGTTCAGCTAATCAGTCAACTACTCTCTATGCCCTGGATCAGGCCCGCAGGGTGCAAGTTCCCCGTCCTTGCCAACAGGGGAACCCCAGCAGACAATGTGAAAGGACCTGATCCAGGCGGAAACACAGGAGGCCACTCCGCAGAGTCATGACTCAGGGCTCCATCCACTTCAGACATTCTGTTGTCAATCAGGTCTGAGGCTGGACCTGCTCCAGCTGCCCGGGGTACACTTCCTCATAGTTCTCCTGTGTGCCCAACAGCACACACTCAGAGGATTTGGGAGCAAAGAGAACTTTTCTGGCTCATCTGTGGATGAAATGCATTAACAATCACATCTCAAAATAAATAACCAGCCTGATTGAAATTAATATACTCAAAAGGCAAGGGGGGAACTATAATGTAGACAACCTCTAAGGTTATCTTTTGCAAAATTAAAGAGCAACATGTTGCCGGCGCCGCGGCTCACTAGGCTAATCCTCCGCCTGCGGCGCTGGCACACCGGGTTCTAGTCCCGGTCGGGGCGCTGGATTCTGTCCCGGTTGCCCCTCTTCCAGGCCAGCTCTCTGCTATGGCCCGGGAGTGCAGTGGAGGATGGCCCATGTGCTTGGGCCCTGCACCCCATGGGAGACCAGGAGAAGCACCTGGCTCCTGCCATCGGCTCAGTGCGGTGCGCCAGCCGCGGTGGCCATTGGAGGGTGAACCAACGGCAAAGGAAGACCTTTCTCTCTCACTGTCCACTCTGCCTATCAAAAAAAAAAAAAAGGCAAGCAACATGTCCCAATTTTCTAAGAAGAACCATTAAATAAGCACTGTAACATAGGAGTTGCTAAGTGATGACATAAATCACAAAGAATTTACTAGCTTTCAACTAAGAAAAAAATAACTTTCTGATTAACAAGTGCAGCAGCTGTAGTTTAGTTTTAGTGACTATGTTTTTCTCAACTTTAAAAAAATGTACCTAGCTGAGAGGCGGAGAGACGGAGAGAGCCCACAGCTATCTGCTAGTTCACTACCCAAATGCTACAAGGGCTGGGCCTGGACTGCAGAGAAGTCAGGAGGTGGGAACCTAAGTCACGTCTGGCAGGGACCCAACTGCTGGAGCCATCACTGTTGCCTCTTAGGGTCTACCTGGCAGGAAGCTGCACTCAGGTGCCAGAGGCACGCACTGACCTCAGGTGCTTCCCTGTGGATGCAGGCATCTTAGTTGGCTCCTTAGCCAACAGGGCAAGTGCCCAACCCGGTGGTTGTGTATTTTAAAGAATACCACGTTGCTGATTTTCAATGGAAGATGAGAAAATCATGAATATGGTAAAATGCCAATCGGCTGAAAAAGAAAACGGACCCCATGATCATGAAGACTATCAGATGACAAACACAGCATCATGTAAAACTGTGCAACATGCGCGCTACCCCCTTGCGTCACAGACTCCGCACCTGGCTTCTATGTGGGAGGCCCACCCGATACGGCCAAAGACCTGTATGAAGGGGCAAGGAGAGGGCCGAGGAGCAGGTGATTGAGAAGCACACAGTGTTTTCACTTACACTTCTAATAACCTTCAAGTTGAACAGGGCCTGAGAGGTAACCTCCTAACCCCCATTTTTGAGATAAAATCCTGGGTCCAGGAAGGTTAAGTGATAGGCTGAAGCTGCCCTTTCCAATGATCCCAGGCAATATCAGTTCTCCCATATATTCCTTAAGACAGGTATCTAAAAACTACCTCATTGCTCATTGTCCTCCATAAACACAGGCCATCTGGGGGCGCTTGTGACATGGCACAGTGGTTTAAGCCACGACTTGTGACACCTGTATCCCATATTGGAGTGCCGGTTTGAATCCCGGTAGCTCCATTTCCAATCCAGCTTCCGCTAATGTGGCTGGGAAAGCAGCAGATGATGGCCCAAATACTTGGGCCCCTGCCACCCATGTGAAAGGCTGGGATGGAGTTCCAGGCTCCTGGATTTGGGCCGGTCAAGCCCCAGCCATTGCAGCCATTTGGTGAGTGAACCAAAAGATGGAAGATATCTCTTTGTCCCTCTCTGCCTTTAAATAAATAAATAAATCTTTTTTAAAAAACATGGTTCTTTTAAAAAAAAAAAGATTGACTTACTTGAAAAAGCTATAGAGAGAGAGGAAGAAATAGAGAGAGATATCTTCCATCCATTGGTTTAGTCCCCAGATGGGTGCAACAGCCAGAGCTGAGCCAGGCCAACGCCAGGAGCCAGGAGCTTCATCCAGGTCTCCCACAGGGGTGCAGGGGCCCAAACACTTGGGCCATCTTCTGCTGCTTTCCCAGGCCATAGCAGGGAGCTGGATCAGAAGTGGAACAGCCAGGAAACAAACTGGCACCCATATGGGATGCTGGTCCTGCAGGCAGCAGGTTTTAGCTGCTATACCACAATGCTGGCTCCCAAAACATGCAATTTTTAAGAAAAATATTGTTTATAAGATTATACAAAAGGTCTCCAAAAAGTCTGTGGAAAATAAATATTATGCATGGTTTTCAGAACTTTTTACACCAAAATAAACTTATCTTTTAATTCCATTTTTCTACCAATTTTTGAAATATCCATTTTTTCTAAGGATTTATTTTATTTATCCAAAAGGCAGAGTGACAGAGAGAGAGGAAGGGACATAGGAGAACTTTCATCTGTTGGCTCACACCCCTAAAGGCAGCAACAGTCAGGGCTGGGCCAGGCAGAAGTCAGGAGCCAGGAGCTTCATCCAGGTACCCCACATGGGTGCAGGGCCCCAAGCACTTGAGCTATCTTCTGCTTCCTTCCCAGGTGCATTAGCAGGGAGCTGGATGGGAAGCGGAGCATCCAGGACTCGAACAGGCACTCTGAAATGGGATGCCCATGCTACAGGCTGTGGCTTAACTCTCTGTACCACCATGCCAGCCCCCAGAATACCCATCTGTAATGACTAAGCCATGCAAATCGGTGTCCAAGAGTCCTGGCTAACCACCGGGATATGTTTGGAAAATACTTTTAGATTAAAATGTCAGTTATTTCACAATCACTATGTAATGATTCCTCTCAAAAAACTGCAACCAGTTCTTAAGTCTTCTTTGACTTTAAAACTGGGATGAAAATTTAAGAGTTGTTGGGGCCTGCACTGTGGAGTACAAGGTCCATCCCACACGGATGCCGGTTCGAGTCCCAGCTGCTCCACTTCCAATCCAGCTCCTGCTAATGTGCCTGGGAAGGCAGTGGAAGATGGCCCAAGTGCTTGGGTCCCTGCCACCCACATGGGTGACCTAGAGGAAGCCCCTGGCTTCAGCCTGGCGTAGCCCCATCTGTTGTGGCCATTTGGGGAGTGAACCAGCAGATGGAAGATCTCTACATCTCTCTCCTCTTTCTCTGTATCTCTGCCCTTCGAATAAATAAATTAATCAAAAACAAAAGAGAAAGAAAAAGTCAGAGTTGTTTACTGACAGATGGCAAAAATATCATTATGTTTCTCCAACATTATCGTCAATAAACAAAACATTCTCAATGACCGCAGCTCTGGGCAGTCCGCGTGTCACGGCCCGTCACACACCTGCAGCAGAGCCTGGGCCCCGGCTCGCACGTTTGTGTTGTCCTCCTCTGTCACGCACCCTCTGCTCATGGCGCTCGTGAAGGAGTAGCTGCGCCCCCAGCTGGAAGAGCGCTTATGACCCGAACCTTCCGTCGGGGCCTTGGAGAAAGAAGGATGCGGTTAACAGAGACACATTTGCATGTTGGATTCCACGGAGTCACCGAAAAAATGAGTCCAGGAGGGCAAACATCTTCTCTATCATTTCATCACTCTTCCCCTGGTACCTAAAGTCGTGCTTAGCACTTACGGTGTGCTGAAGGAGCGAGTCATGTGTGTCCCGTGACTGACGGGGTATGGAACACGGGCCTTTAAACCAAGTGATGAATTCTGTTTGTGGACCTATTCTTTCCAATCTCATCACTGGAAGGATTTCACCAATACAGAAAATCCAAAATTATGGAACTGATACAGATATTTATGGGTAGGAATTTTTCAACATTCTAAATTAATTTTAAAATAACAAGCCAGAAATACAAATACAACTAAAGTTGCTTTAATGTTTTAGGAAGGTGCTCCACTCCATCATTTTAGATTTATCCAACCTCTGGCTTTATCTGACAGGAGGATGGCACTCAGAGCTGCGGCCAGGCTCATGATGGAGGTAGCCCTGGCCGTGCGGTCACTCCTTCCCAGGGTGCAACACACAACCGCTTCTGACGTAGTCCACTGCATGAGCAAAGTCTGCCAAATTTCATTTCTCCAAAACTCTTCTAATTCAAACAGCTTAGGGAGAAGACAGTCACACTTTTCAGTCTCATGTAGAGATGTGTAAAGTAAGGTGGCTTACTAAACAACTCTTTGGCCACAGTGACTGAGGAAGCTGCAGCGTGCATGTGACCCTAGCGTGGGGGTTAGGAGATAGCTATTCTAGAAGACAGACCAGAAGCCGCCTCTCAGAGGGGCATTGGGCAGGTCAGAAAGAGATCCACTGCCTGAGCAGGTATATTTGCACTTCCAACTCCAGAGACAGCTGATGAAATTACCTCCTTACTATCAGTTTCTGAAAAGCCCAATTTTTCAGTATCTTCTTGGGCAGCATCTTTTGTATCCGGTTCCTCCATGAACACAGGTTTGTCCTGGAGGATCCACTTTCTGTACACTTGAACTACTTTCCTTGTTACAGCTATCTCACAGGAAGGCAGCAGAAATGCCTGAAAGGAAAAGAGAAAACGTCCTGTTAATTGCACACAAACTCAGGTCACTATGGAGCCGTGAGATAGATACTTCCAATGGCCATCCCCGATTTCAGACTTTGAAATATACAGCCTGTAACTATACTATCCAGGGCCACATAGATGGTACACACACAGGTTATCTGAGGAAAAATACACGTGATTGGCCATCCAAAATAATATAGTTTAAAAGTAACTTCTCAGCCGGCACCACGGCTCAATAGGCTAATCCTCCGCCTTGAGGCACCAGCACACAGGGTTCTAGTCCCAGTTGGGGCGCCAGATTCTGTCCCGGTTGCCCCTCTTCCAGGCCAGCTCTCTGCTATAGCCCGGGAGTGCAGTGGAGGATGGCCCATGTGCTTGGGCCCTGCACCCCATGGGAGACCAGGAGAAGCACCTGGCTCCTGCCTTCGGATCAGTGCAGTGCACCGGCCGCGGTGGCCATTGGAGGGTGAACCAACGGCAAAAGGAAGACTTTTCTCTCTGTCTCTCTCTCTCACTGTCCACTCTGCCTGTTAAAAAAAAATAAAAAAAGTAACTTCTCTACTTGAATAATTTTTCCAAAAAATTAACCAATAAATCATGCCTATACTGATATTTTAATTGGCTGCATAAAACAATTATAATTATACCATCTGAAAATTTTCCCAACAAATCAGAAATAGGTGATAGACAACAGACATCACTAAGTTGGCAAATGCTTCAAATCAGGGCTTTATCTGTTCTTTTCTTTTCTGACAGCCAGTTGATCAACCTTAATCAGGACACCACTGAGTACAGCTACCCGTATCAACAGGAGCCACTGTGCATATTTACAGGAACTTTGTTAACGTTAAGGAATTCCCTTACACCTCTGCAAACCAGGATTTTGATTTAAACATAGACAAGAAAACTTAAAGGGAAATGCATTTTCCATTTGCGTTTGCCATTTAACTAAGAACCACTGCTGTATGAAAAGGGAGCAGGAAGGAGAGGTTACCCCAACTCAGCTGCCTGCTTCAACACCAACGTGACAACACCGAGGGGCAGAGCACTGGAGAGCATTTTCTCAAGGTTACAAAGTTAGCTGGACACAAACTCAGGTCTTATCTCAAGCTTCTCAAACTTTTTTTTTTTTTTAACATTATTGTTAAGGATCATGCCATGAGATCCAATTACAGGCAGATTTCAATTTACCAGAGGTTCATGCAATACATAAGTTTCCACGAATGGTGGGCAGATCACACCAAGTTCCAGAACAGAAGAGTCTGTGTTATAACAAGACTACACAGTATCAATGTATCACATAATCTGATATGTAAGCTCAGAAAGATCAACCAAGCAAAAAGTATGACAAGGTATGCCAGTATCCCCATTCTAATTTTCTCTCTCTCTCTGACTCTCCCTCTCTCTCTGCAACTCTGACTTTCAAATGAATAAATAAATCTTCAAAAAAAATTCCAGATTAAAAAAATGAGAAAATCTGTTACCAAGAGAGATGACCTAAGGAAAATACTAAAACTATTCTTTAGGCAGAAAGGAAATTATTCCAGGTCAGAAATGTGGGAGGAATTGACGCTGTGGCGCAGTGGGTTAGACCTCTGCCTGCAGCACTCACATCCCATATGAGTACTGGTTTGAATTCAGGCTGCTCCACTTCCAACCCAACTCCCTGTGAATGTGCCTGGGAAAGCAGTAGAAGATGGCCCAAGTCCTTGGACCCTGCACCCATGTGGGAGAGCTGGAAGAAGCTCCTGGCTCCTGGCTTTGGCCTGGCCCAGCCCCGGCTGATGCAGCCATTTGGGGAGTGAACCAGTGGACAGAAGATCTCTCTCAGTCTTTGTCTCTCCCTCTCTCTGTGTAATTCTGCCTTTCCAATAAAATAAATCATTTTTTAATAAAAGAAATTTAGGAAAGACTAAATGCAACAAAAAGAATTTGGGTAAATCTAAATGAATAAAAAAACTGAATAAAATAATTATAATAGTTCTGAAAGGTAGGATATATTCGTAACCAGAAATTCAAATATATAACAATAGTATATAAACTGAGAATGAGTAAATACAACTAATGTGCATACTAACAGGTAAAATTTGAAATTAATGCTAGATTTTAAATTAGGAATGTATTTTATTAACTAACCACTCAAATATTTATATAAGGGGCTGACATTGGGTTAATCCACTGCTTGCGACACCAGCATCCCCTATCAGAGTGCCAGTTCATGTCCCGGCTGCTCCACTTCTGATTCAGCTCCTTGCTAAAGCACTTGGTCAGGTGATAGATGATGACCCAAGTACTTGGGTCCCTGCCACCCATGTGGGAGACCAGAATGGAGCTGCAGGGTCTTGGCTCTTGGCCTGGCCCAGCCCTGGCTTTTGCAGCCACTTGGGGAGTGAACCAGTAGATGAAGGATCTCTGTCTCTCTCTCTGTCTCTCTTTCTCTCTCTCCATCACCCTGCTTTTCAAATAAGTAAATACTTAAATCTTCATAAAATAATTACAAATGAGTGTGAAACCACTTATCTGACTATAGGAGGAAAATGTGATACTAAAAACAAGTAGCCTGAAAGAAGCCAATACAACTAGAAAGTGAAAAGCAGAACAGTAGACTCAGACCCATTGACAGCAGTTGCTGTGTTACATGCAAATGGAATAGGGCTCCAATCAAAAATGTTCGCATGCAATTTAGGAGAGTATATCTAAAACATAAAGAGTCAGAGAAAGATACAGCACAGAATCTTTGGGGTCTCAGGATGTGCCAGCTCCTCCATGCTGTTCTGGGAAATCTGAGATCCCCTGGGCAAGGAGAACAACCTGAAAACTCTTGTTTCTGAAGGTCACTGAACTCCTTTAGGTCAGTTCAGAGCAGGAATCTGAGATGGGGACACCTGCTGTGCCTATGACAGCTCAGGATACCTCATTTGAAAGAGTTAGGATACTAACTACCTCCTTTACAATTTGACTCCTGGCTGGCCCTTTTGCTGCAAACGTATTGCTTCTGCAAAGCTGGCCGGAGTCAGCATAGTGAGTCCGAAACAAACAAACTCCTCCATGACAAAGGTTGGGGATCTCTAATCTCTATCCCAAAACACTTCACTCATGCCCTGAAAATATCAGCAAGAACTCAAGATCCAGAAAACAGATTCTACTTATGGGAAAACAATCCTCTGAAAAGAAGTTTGGAATCAGCAAAACCTGAGAGTCAGATGGCCTAAGTTTCACAGCTTCTGCCACGGCTCCAGTCCAGAAGAGAAAGAGAAAACTCGATCAATCCTTAAAGAAGCATGGGCATCATAGAAACATCGTAAGAGAAAAAGAAAATGAGAAAGGAGGAGAGAGGGGTGAAAATGGAGGCCTGGTGCCCTCACATCCTTCCTTCCAACGCCTCTCGCACCCTCACCAAGTGAAGAAGATGAGATGGTGGGTAAAGAGCTGGCAGAGGTCAGCACCCAGCACCCATCCCAACAAGGATGGTCAACACTGTCAGCAGGATACAGTCTCCTGGGTGACACATCAGGAATGTCAGCTCCAGCCCTGTAAGCACTCGGTGGCCCGGGCGCCACAGCCCTCTTCCCAGGCAGTACCAAGTGGTGCTTGGCGTCACCACCTCTCTGCCTCGGGCACTTCCTAAGCTGTGTTCACCCGGCCTTCTCAAGCTCTAGGGAATGGGAAAGGACAACAAGCAAGCTGAGGCAGGAGGTGAGGCGAGGGTTCCTAGAGGTGGGCTGCAGAGCGGTCGGAAGCAAGGTGCAGTCTCACCAAAGCCCGCGGCGAGTTGAAATGGATGTGGCCGCTTTCCCTTGTGTTTAGCTTTCTCATTTTCTCACTGCGTCTTTGTTGCTGTTTGTTGAGGTCCTGTCTGCCAAAGAGATACAGGACTGCTTTTACGCTGAGATCCTCAAGGCCCAGGCAAAGTAACTTTAGGGTGTTTAATCTCTGTCCAGTGGTGCAATTATTTCCTCTTCTTTCCCATTAGACTGAAGTGAGATTTACTCTGGAGCAGTGGTTCCCAAAACCCATGTGTATTTCACTCGATTGGTTTAGTTCTCCCTGACTTTCTGGGGATGGAAGCCATACAATTCATCATTAGGGCAGCATCTCCCGATAGCAGCAACACCAGACAAAGACTCCTCATGTCCAACTCCTGTCATCTTCTTTTACCTTTTGCAAGAGATCCATTTTTGCATTTTTCATCTTCAGTACTCTGCTGGAACTCTGACATTTCCATCAGTTAGAACTGCTATCTGTCAATCGCTTCTCGGCCTTTTGGCTAAGATCAAGTGTAGAATTACTGTCAAAGGGGGCCCGGTGCTGTGGTATAGTGGGCTAAACCTCCGCCTGTGGCACCGACATCCCATATGGGCGCCGGTTCATGTCTCAGTTGCTCCACTTCCAATCCAGCTCTCTGCTTTTGGCCTGGGAAGGAAGTGGAAGATGGTCCAAGCACCAAGCACTTGGGCCTCTGCACCCATGTGGAGACCCAGAAGAAGCTCCTAGCTTCGGATTGGCTCAGCTCCTCCCGCTGTGGCCATCTGGGGAGTGAAGTAGCAGATGGAAGATCTGTCTCTCTCTCTCTCTCTAACTCGGCCTCTCAAAAAAATAAATAAATCTTAGAGAAAAAAAAAAAAAGAATTACTGTCAGAGGGGTGGCTGCTGTTGTTCCAGACAGGATACGACTACCACTCCTCTATCCCCAGCTACTGTTTGGCTTCCTTACTGCCACTTGTTCGGGAGACACCTGCTCTTCTTTCTAACGTGGGCCTGTGCCTCTTGCCATCTGCTTTGAAAACACGGTCATACAAGGGAATGTTCCTTCCTTGTCATTCTTTATTCAGACTCTCAAAGAACCCTGTAAAGGAGATAAACACTTTTTGAAAAGTTTAAGATCATTTCATTTCCCCCCTGCTGTCCTGGAATGCTAGGTTAGTCCTCTTCCCAGGATATAAAAATAAGAGTTCCAATTAATCGTTCAACTTCCTTTGAGGGAGTATGTTCAA